CAATTTAAATAGTTTTTGTACCAATCGACAGAGAAGGGATTGGCGCACCCAATGACACCAAGAATATTTAAATTGGACAGCCCAACACCAAGATATTTAAGCTCAAATTTAGAATGCTAATGTCGAAGGGGCGGGGCCAGAAAGACCTTTTAAAAAGAGAAGAAGCCCATGTTCTAAAAGTGAGAGCTGAAGATCAGCAGAAGCTCAAAACAAAGCCAAAATATTCAATAAACAAAAATCTTTCAATTTAATTAAATATTCATATTGTTCATAAGTAAAGAGGTGAACTGGATCATTTAGCTTCGAAAAGCGTGATTGCCCTATCATTCAGCCGAATACGATGCCTTTGAACCTCTGGCTCTAGGCCGTTAGCTTAGATAGCCACCCAGAACTTCTCTTTTAACCCTTGATACCAGGAAGCGCTTTTTCCTGACGTATCCCTCTGAAAAATCTGCCGTTCCACTCCCATCTCTTTTGTGCCTTTGCACTTTCATAAATGGTTATTCGAGAAACCTTGCGATCTACTTGATATCCACCTGTATCCGATAAATCTTGAACTTTTTTCGAAATGCAAAAACGTTTCAGCGATTTCTGTAATGAGCGCTTCTATTGCTAGGAAGTAAATAGAAAAAGTGATTTTTGATTATTCCCAATCCAAATGACAAGAGTTGATGAAAAGAATTTCTGGTGCTTCAAATTTTGATCGTGTGTTCTTTGTGTATCTTATAACCTGGACTTGCGAATAAATATATTATGAAGACCGTCTTCAAAATGGGAACTAAGCGACCAAAACAAAGCCATTTTTGCTACCATTCGATTCAGAATCGGTCGAGGTGGAATGGGTAAAGCTCGGGCTTACTTTGCAACTTGGTGCACTTCAAAAAAAAGTTAAAAAAAGTTAAAAAAAAAGTCAATAGTCAATAGTCAATAGTGACAAAAAGTCTATAAAGGAAACAAAGACAAAGACGCACGCATGGACAGCTTATACATACGCTTAGGAGTGAATTAATTGTTCCTCTTCTAACTTATCGTTGGTTTTGTTTAAGTTTTGAATTTTGAAACCTTGCTATCCGCTAAGTGTCCATTTTTAATGTCATGTTTAGAGTCATTTTTTAAAGTTTTAAAATACCTACGTTAATAACATTTCTTAAAAACAAACAAGCAAACGAGCTCGAGAAGCTTCATGGTAAAAGAAAACGAATTAAAGGTGCCGGTCGCCGCTTAGCTTCAACTGAAATTGATGAGGCTTTGGAGTTGTGGATTCACGAGAAAAGAGCCGAAAAGAGCTGATATTGATTGTTAATTTTTCTTTGTTACTTATTATTGATGGTTAACTTGTTATTGATGTTTTTAAATCTTTCTATTTAGTTGATTCGGTTTTGGTAACCTAAGACTCTACAATGATATATTAAAATTAGAAGGGCACCTTTAATAGAAGAGCACCCTAGAGGGGGTAGGAAAAAATAGAGAGGCATGCCCTTCAATTACAATATTTATGGTACAATACCGAGCAAAAGTCTTGCAACATCACTTTTTCAAAAACATCGATGAAATTTTTTTATAGAAAATGCCACCCGTTCCTAGAGCTCTTTTGTTTTTAATTAGAACTTTATATTAATTAGAACATGTACACTTTATTTACAAAAACTAATTTGGAGTTCAGCGTAAAACAAAAAAGTAAATGACAAAACTACTAAAATATACCGTAAAAACTGGGTGCAAAAGGCTTGCAACATTATACAGAAACATCGAAAACTAATATTCAATCGGTCCACCTTTTGCTAAAATCACTTCATTAAGTATTTTAGGCATTGAGTCGACTAATTCGGGAAGAATTGGAATTGCTGGTCCAATTGAGCTACAAACTTTTTGTATGTAGAACCATAAGTCAACTTTTGTGTGAAAGTCTTTTCCTCGTAACTTTGTCTTCACGTAAGCCCATAAATTCTCAATAACGTTTAAATCAGGCGACATAGGGGGCACATTGACCCACAAAACATTATTAAGGGCAAGCCATCCAGGGAGATGAGCTTTTCCTCCATTTGAGAGATTCACCGTGCGACCCATCATGAGCTTGCTCTTGTGGACCGGCGAAGTGTCCTGGTAGAGATACCATCCAGGAGCCATGTGATCCTGAGCAAATGAAAGTAGACGCTCTTCTAGTATTCCAACATACTGGCGAGCATTCATGGTTGACTGGACGAGGCCGAGCGGACCTGCCACATTTTTTGTCATCGCCCCTAGAAAAAGACAAATTAATGCATGTATTAGAAAGAAGGCTTACCAAAACACATGATTGATCCTCCGCCAGCCCGCATTGTAGGTCGCACATATTTAAGGAATATTTGCTTTCGAATGGGTCGTCTGATCAAGTGGTTGCCTTTTGGAGAAAAGATATCCACTTTTGTTTCATCGACAAAAATCACGTTGGCCCAATCCTGCTTTGTCCAACTTTGCTACGTCCTGGCGAATAGAAGCCGTTGTTTCCGGTGGCCAGCGGTCATCAAAGGCTTTCGTACAGCCCTCCGGCTACACAGTCCTGCTTAAGTCAATTGTCGAGAAACGGTCCATCGAGAGATATCCTTGTTTGCAACATCCTTGAACAGCCGAGCTCCCTCAGTTGATGTCATGTTCGGATCCTTCTTGGAAGCCATCACGAGTATTTGATCCTCTTTTGCTGTTGTTCTTCTTGGCCGTCCTTTCTTTTCTCTTCGGTGCACAAGTCCAGTTGTTTTTGCTTTTGAAACAATGGGAGAAACGGTCGAAGGATCGCATTTGAAGAGATCGGAGACAACGGCTCGAGAAATTCCTTTTTTTCTTGCTTTCATGATTTTTTCTTTTTCGGGAGTCGTCCAGTAGGTACCTGGCATCTGAAAAAAACAAAAATTAGTGTAAATTATTAAATTTGAAAACAATAAAAATGAGAAACATAGAATGTTGCAAGCCTTTTGCACCCAGTTTTTAGGGTATATTTTAGTAGTTTTGTCATTTACTTTTTTGTTTTACGCTGAACTCCAAATTAGTTTTTGTAAGTAAAGTGTACATGTATTATTCTAATTAAAAACAAAAGAGCCCTACGAACGGGTGGCATTTTCTATAAAAAATTTCATCGATTTTTTGAAAAAGCGATGTTGCAAGACTTTTGCTCGGTATTGTAACTTATCGTTAGGTTTGTTTAAGTTTTGCATTTTAAAACTTTCCTATCCGCTTAGTGTCCGTTTTTAATGTCATGCTTAGCGTCATTTTTTAAAGCTCCAATATTGAATTCAAAAATTGGAGACATCACTGCATTAATCGAAAAATATATTCTACCAGGTATCACTTTTTTGATGAGATGGCCTATTGAAAAGTAAAATCGTTGTTTTTTTTATTTCTAAGATGATTCTCTTGCCTGTACATTGGCATAAACGTGGTAAATGATTAGACTTAAACAAAACAAACAAAGCAAAATGACTCGAGAAAAAGTCGGCTCTTGTTTTATCAATAGACAATGTCGGTTCAGCTCTTCAGCTCTCCATATCCGGTACCATAACCTCAACCATGACGCCTATATAACCTAATCCAATATAGCCAGGCCCCAATATAACCAAGGCCCCGTCCCTAAAAAATGAAGAATCATAAAAAAATTATTTTCTGGCCTTTCATGCAATCCAAACATATTATGCACCGTTGGTGATTCCACGTTGATGGTTCCACGAACCCAATAGTAGAGCTTTAAAAAATGACTCTAAACATGAGATTACAAACGGACACTTAGCGGATAGCAAGGTTTTAAAATTCAAAACTTAAACAAAACTAACGATAAGTTAGAAGAGGAACAATTAATTCACTCCTAAGTGTATTGATAAGTTGTCCATTGGCGACTTTGTCTTTATTTCCTTGCTAACTTCAATTTTTACTATGCTTTTGTCAATTCCCTTCCGGGAATTTCAATTCAACGTGTATCTTCGTGTGTGCGTTGTTCAACTAACTTTGCTTTAATAAAAACAAAATATTATTTCTTCCTTAAATCAACACGACGCACAACTATACGCTTTAGTCCAGTGGTCCGATTGAGGAGATTTTTCTTGCGAAAATTTTCTTTTCTCTTACTTTTCTTCTTCTCTCCTGCGCGTTTTCCATTTTCCATTCACCGACACGTGGTGCTGCGAAGAAACCATTGACTTTTTTTGAAGTGCGCCAAGTTGCAAAGCAAGCCCGAGCTTTACCCATTCCACCTCGACCGATCCTGAATCGAATGGTAGCAAAAATCGCTTTTTATCGGTCGCTTAGTTCCCATTTTGAAGACGGTCTTCATAATATATTTATTCGCAAGTCCAGGTTATAAGATACACAAAGAACACACGATCAAAATTTGAAGCACCAGAAATTCTTTTCATCAACTCTTGTCATTTGGATTGGGAATAATCAAAAACCACTTTCTCTATTTACTTCCTAGCAAAAGAAGCGCTCATTACAGAAATCGCTGAAACGTTTTTGCATTTCGAAAAAAGTTCAAGATTTATCGGATACAGGTGGATATCAAGTAGATCGCAAGGTTTCTCGAATAACCATTTATGAAAGTGCAAAGGCACAAAAGAGATCGGAGTGGAACGGCAGATTTTTCAGAGGGATACGACAGGAAAAAGCGCTTCCTGGTATCAAGGGTTAAAAGAGAAGTTCTGGGTGGCTATCTAAGCTAACGGCCTAGAGCCAGAGGTTCAAAGGCATCGTATTCGGCTGAATGATCTACGGCTTGGAGAAAGGTGTTTGCTGCTTAGTGCCCTAAAACTAAGAAAAACTTTCAGTGATAGGGCAAGCACGCAACAAATTGCTTTTCTAAGCTGTGGAAAACTAGAATTTTCTTGTGGTTAAATGGTCCAGTTTACCTCTTTACTTATGCTCTTGCTTTTGCTAAATAATTGAACTTACTCTTATATTAAAATTAAAAGATTTTTGTTTATTGAATATTTTGGCCTTGTTTTGAGCTTCTGCTAATCTTCAGCTATTACTTTTAGAACATGGGCTTCTTCTCAGTGAGCTTCACCGTCTGTCTCGTGCTCCTCGTTGTCGTCACGGCCGAGTGAGTAGGGGATATCAAACAAAAATAGTTCAATTAGTGGGTAAAAATGAAAATAGTAGTAAAAACACTTTAAACTAGTACCAAACTTTACTTTAGGCCAGATAGCTCTTCCGTGGACCGAGTGCGCCGCGACATGGAGACTGAAGTAATGCCAGCGTCCCGATTCAGTGAGTGGTTGAACTTTTTGAACTTTTTGAATTTTAATTTGGAGAGAAGAATAATACACTGTGGTGCAAAAGTCTTGTCCCACTTACTTTTCTGAAACATTTTGTCAAAATTCTAAAAATCTTCGAAAACAACTTTTTAAGTAAAGGGGTTTTTCTGAACCCTAAGTTGTAAGCTTTCATATAAAAAATTTTTTAGATTTAAAAAATTTATTACCTAAAAGAAAATAGCAAATAAAGTTTAAAATCAAAAAATATATGGTGCAAAAGTCTTGTCCCACCATTAAAAAAGGTAAGCTAGATTAATATTTTGTCGGTCCTCCTTTAGCCAAAATCACTGCTTGAATACGTTGAGGCATTGAGTCGACCAAATCACGTAGAATTCCCGAAGAAATTTGTCGCCAAACGTTTCTGATAAAGAACCAAAGCTCGATGTTTGTGTTGAATATCTTGCCCCTGAGTTTAGTCTTTAAATGACCCCAAAGATGCTCTATAACATTCAAATTCGGCGAATAAGGAGGCACTTTGATCAATTTTACACGATAAGCAGCAAAAACGCCGGGTAGGCGAGCTCTTCCTCCATTTGCAAGTCGGACAACTCGGCCCATCATTAGCTGGCTTTTGTGGCATGGAGCGTTGTCTTGATATAAGGCCCATCCTTGTGGCAAGTTCGTGTTTGCAAATGGAAGTAAGTTGTTCTCTATGATTGACTTGTACCTTTGAGCGTCGAGATTTCCATCGATAAACACTAGCGGTCCCGATGCACTTCGATTCATCGAGCCTAAAAAAGACAAATCGTAAGTGAAAAATAGGGCGAACACTTACCCCACAACATAATGCTCCCACCACCGAATTTTACCATTGGCTTAACGTATTTGAGTTTATAACGTTGTCCAATTGGTCTTCTGATTAAATGGTTACCGTCCGGGTAGTATAAATTAATTCTAGTCTCATCGATAAAAATGACTCGAGCCCAGTCATCGGAAGTCCAACACTCGTAGTTCTTTACAAAATCATATCTCAGCTTCCGAGTTTTTGCAATGGTCAAGGGTCGTTTTGCTGGTCTTCTTGCATGCAATTCTGCTCGAATCAAGCGACGGTTGATGCTCCATCGAGAAATATTTTTGTTAGACGTGGCCTTCAATTTCATGATTCCATGGCTCGAAGTCAGATTCGGGTCGATTTTATGGTCAATGATAAGTGCTCGATCTTCAGTTTTTGTTGTAATCGGTGGACGACCATTTTTCGAAGCTCTGTGAAGACTTTGGCCTTCTTCCGATTTTGCTACTAGCCGATTCACGGTCCTTTTATTGCATTTGAAGAGCATCACAATAGACGGTGATGAATATCCATATTTCTTTGCTTGCACGATCTTTTGCTTATCAGGAGTTGATAAATATTTGCGAGTCGACATCTAAAAATAAAAATATAGTACAAAAAAATCCATGAGAACAAACAAAGGCAAAGAGAAAATAAAAATTTTCTTAGTGAGACAAGACTTTTGCACCATCTTTTTTTCTCAAGTTTTACGAAAAAAAAGGTTTTAAAAAAACAACAAAATATTGGAGTACGGGCATTTACAAAGTAAAAGATGAAGGGATAAGCTACTAAAAAAACCCGTTACTTAAAAAGTTATTTTCGGAAAATTTTAGAATTTTGACAAAATGTTTCAGAAAAGTAAGTGGTACAGGACTTTTGCACCACAGTGTATGTTACTAAAGAGTCTGTTTGTAGCTTCTGTATCTTAGAAGTGTATTAATTACTATAAAAACATACAATTATAGGAATTTACCCCCGGACATTACCACTTATTTCAGTCCGTGCGTGTACCGCTGACGAGTTGTCCAAGGGATGCACCGAGGCGCCCACCGACTTCGGGCCTGCCAAAAAGTTGTGCACCTGCTCCAAGACTGAAGCAATGTCAGCGTCCCGATTCAGTGAGTGGTTGAACTTTTTGAACTTTAATTTTGAGAGAAGAATAATATGTTACTAAAGAGTCTGTTTGTAGCTTCTGTATCTTAGAAGTGTATTAATTACTATAAAAACATACAATTATAGGGATTTGCCCCCGGACATTACCATTTATTTCAGTCCGTGCGTGTACCGCTGACGAGTTGTCCAAGGGATGCACCGAGGCGCCCACCGACTTCGGACCTGCCAAAAAGTTGTGCACCTGCTCCAAGACTGAAGCAATGTCCGCGTCCCGATTCAGTGAGTGGTTGAACTTTTTGAACTTTAATTTTGAGAGAAGAATAATATGTTACTAAAGACTCTGTTTGTAGCTTCTGTAACTTAGAAGTGTATTAATTACTATAAAAACATATAATTATAGGGATTTACCCCCGGACATTACCACTTATTTCAGTCCGTGCGTGTACCGCTGACGAGTTGTCCAAGGGATGCACCGAGGCGCCCACCGACTTCGGACCTGACAAAAAGTTGTGCACCTGCTCCAAAGGGTGAGCGTAACTTAGAGTTTCTAGTGATTGGTTTGTAGTTTAACACCAACAAAACATAAACTCTTAAAGTATGATGAATCATTGGGGAAAAGTGGAATCAAAATGTTTAGACGTGTGCGACGTAATCCCGACGCCCAGGAGGAAGCGAAGACCACTGTGCACGGTTAGTTAGATAGATGGACGAAGTCATTAGATAGACATTGTTCTGAAAAATACCATATCTTCGCTGCAGGATCCACATCTTGGAAAGAGCTTCTTACTTCTGAAATCTTAAAGCTTAATCAAGCTATCAGATTATTATCTTTATCTGTCAGATATATCTAAGCTCGATTTTCTAAACTCTAAATTGTGCTATTCACAATTCACAATTGTGACATAGCTCTCAAAAATACCATATCTTCGCTGCAGGATCCACGTTTTAGAAACAACATTGCTGTGTGGCTGCTTACTATGACTTCTAAGATCTTAAACCTTCATTTAGCTATCAAATTATAACCTTTATTTATCGTCAGATATAGTTAAGATCTAAGCTCGATTTTCTAAACTCTAAATTGTGCTAGTCACAATTCACAAGTCCCAGTGTTTCTTTGGGGTCAAAACACAGGGAAAGGGGTTGTTGATTTGTTTTTTGCCCCTTTTTTCCAAATATACTTCCAATGTTTTTCTATACCGTGGATCTGCTAATTTGAAGTAAGCCAATTATTTACGCTGAAATCTAAGCACATAAAATTCCCATTCTTTTTCAGAACATCCATGCTCCCACGAAGAGTTGGTCGACAAGCATTGCACTCTTGTCGCTGATATCGGGCAGCCACTTCGATGCCACTGCCCTGAATAAACTCTCTTAACTTTTGCATTATCGAGATAATCTGATAATGCAGATAAATGAAAATACAATATCTTCTTTATGAATCGATTTTGCAAATAAATCTTTGGCTATGCTTGATTTTTTTGATCAGAAACTGAAAAGCTTCTCTTAAAGTGAAGTTGATGCTAAAAGTTACAATATTCATCCTGGCTCATCACAGAGAAAACACAATTTAACACGTTCGAATTTCAAACCAATACCGAGTCACAAAAAAGCAAATACTCCGAAGAGGTCTGTAGTTTGTAACCGGTACTTGGTTCCAATCAACTGCTAGAAAAGTTCCAGTAAAAAAACTCATTGAGATAGATCCATCGAGGCATCAATCAAATTTGTCGACGCTTTCAAAAAAAAGTTGATCATGAAGAGGGAAAGTGCACGTTTCCCATATTTCCAAGGATCCAAAGGAAACGCTGTTCTCTCAAGGACAAATATGAGAAAAGCTCCGGGTGTGAAAGGGAAATAGTTCTCGAAAAGCGTTCACATTTGATCACTATCATTTTCTCGTGTATTCGGGAAAAACAGGAAACACGAGCAAATTTGTCCATGTTTTATCAAAATTAATTCAATTCAATATTTAAATATCAAAATGGCACTTCAGAAGTGCTTCGAACAGCATAACAAGAGATCCCAAAAAACGCGAATTTCACTACTCGCCGCAAAATGGTAGTTTGAAGCAAGTTGTGAGCCCGTTTTAACCATGAATTTGCACATACCCGGTTAACGTTTACCTTTATTTTGAACCGAAAGAATTGAAAAAGGTTAGTCAGCTGAAAGCAATGTTTTCAAAAAACTCCTTACATTCAAAACCACAAAAAATGGCAGATCGCGGTGGGGTGTCTGCGGCAAGCCCCTTCCGAAGGCCAGTAAGGCTCAAAAATTAGCTCTGGCCAAAAAGTCTTTAATGTATTAATGATGCTGAGAATTAGAGCTTTCAAATATTATATAATACATGCTGCTTTTTGTAGAAAGTGCTTTGGAAAAGAATAATTTTCTAAAGACTGGTTACCATATTTGTGGAAAACCCTGTATAACAGCGCTGAAGCCACACGGGTAAGGCTTGGTTATTTTAGTGACCCTTGTTTTGAGGATTTGAGCCTTTCAAAGCAAAATTAAATATTTTTCGACAAAAGATAAAATTCTTCACGCATCATAGATATAGACTGTACTTTAAATATCAAAGACTAATAAAATTGTTGGTGCTTTCTTGTTAAAAGGGGTCCGAATCGCGGTCCATTCTCGAAAAATACGTTTTACACAAAAACATTTCAATTTTATTGTTAAATCAACTGAATTTTGTATGCCCATTTGTTTTCGTTTATGTTGACATGCAATAAAGTCAATTTGAATGCTACTTTGTTATTATGGGAAAACGTATCCTTCGAGAATTGGCCGCGATTCGGACCCCCCCCCCCTTTAATAGGGGAATGGGATATTAATGGAGGTGGGGAGGTTTTTGGCATTCCTAATACATGCGTGGACCTCCTGAACTGCTCAGGGGATTAGCCCCCTAGGGGCATGTATTAGGAGGGCACATACAGTGGTCCACAAAAGTAATGCCCCATTGATCGTTTTCATGATTATTCTTTTTGTTTCTTCTTCTATGAACATTAAATGTATTTTATTGTATTATTTACATCCCTGACATGAAAAATCTTGACACCCCGAAGAAGCTCCAAATCGCTAAGGCCCGGGAAAATGGGATGCGGGAGAAGGATGTGGCCAACCTCTTCAATTGCTCGATATGGACAGTGCGCCGCATTTTTTTCTCAATCAAAAGCCGGCAAAAACCTTCCTCGAGGCCTCAAGAGTGGCCGACGACCAATCACAACCATAAAAGAAGATCGAGCCGTGATCCAAATGGTGAAAAACGACCCGAACAAAACATCAACCGATGGAAGCCAAATGATGAGGGATCAATTTAGCAAGGTCGTGTCGCCGGAAACGATCAGACGACGATTAAATCAACCTGGATTATATGCAAGAAGGGCTGCCTTTGATGAATTCTAAGCACCGGAAGCAGCGCCTTGATTTTGCACGGACCTACCGAAGTTGGACAATAAGTGATTGGGCGAAAGTGCTATTTACCGATGAGACAAAAATAAATTTATTTCACGCGGACGGAAACCATCTTATTCGGCGGCCGACTGGAAAGCGATACACACTCAAGTACATTTGGCCTACGATGAAATTCAATGGAGGCAACATAATGTGTTGGGGTAAGAGCCTTTTTAATATTTGGTCACCTGACTGTTTTTCTTTAGGAGCGATGTCACGAACTTCAGTAGATCCATTAGTTCACGTCAACTCAACGATGAATGCTGTGGCTTACAAGAACATTATGGAGACCCAAATGCTGCCTTTTGCCACACAGACGATGCCTCCTGGATGGATGCTCTACCAGGACAGCGACCCAAAACACAAGTCAAGGCTCATGATGGGAACGGTGGTGACTCTTCAAAATGGTACACGAGCACGACTTCCGGGCTGGTTTGCGGAAAGTCGAGTCAAATTGATCAATCCGCCTCCCTACTCACCGGATATCAATGTTATCGAGCATCTCTGGTCATTTGTGAAGTCATGACTCAAGGGAAAGAAATTCGATTCGAAGGCTGCCTTATGGGTTCACATTCAACGTCTCTGGGTCACCATCCCCCAAAGTCTTTTGAAGAATCTCGTGGATTCCATACCGGATCGACTCAATAAAGTAATAAAAGCAAAGGGAGGACCAACCAAGTATTGATTTTTAAAAAAATTGTGTTAATTCTTTGCAAATGGGACATTACTTATGTGGAGCTAATTTTCAAGTAGCTTATTGTTTTTGTTTTATACTTTAATTTGTATGTAATGTATACGGATAAATCTTATATTCTTAAAAAGTCGAGTCTTATGGGTCGGTAAAAATGCCCTACTCTTTTTCTGAAATGTCGATTTTGCAAGATTTCCTTACAAAACATACTGTTGGATGGCAATGGGGCATTACTTTTGTGGACCACTGTATACTGAGTCCAAACTATAGTAAGTACCCCGTGTTTCATGCGCGATGTGCATATTTCTAAAACTTCTAGCAAAATTCGTCAAATGATACGTGTTTGATATCAGTAGAAAAGTTAACTAATTCTCTACAAAATGACATTTAAAAGAAAACTCAAACAGCGCCTCAGCTCAAGAAAAGGCCACTTTTTCACAAAAACCACAAACTGTCATCTAGAAAAAGCGGTTGGAGGGCTCTTCCTGCAAATTTGGCAACTTATGTAATTGAATGTGCTCTATCTTTTTTACATAGACACCAAAGAAGGTTTATGTGGAAGAAACTGTTCAAACGATGAGTCGGACTCTTTGCCATTTTGATCGGCTGGGTTTGGAAGTTCATACACTCCACGAAAGAAAAGCTTTGTGGAATCTCTCAAAAGTCATTTTGTAGAGAAATAGTGGATCCTTTTGATGAAAGAAAACGTATATTTAAGGAAGACTTTATGCATGCAAAAAGTGTCTTTAAAGTTTGGCGCCATTTCATTCTCCCCAACCCAATAAATAAAACCAAAAATAGCAACCGAGCTTTTGCAAAGGCTTTCATTTTCATTGATAGCGCCCACTCTCATTCTCAGCAACTTTGCTCATAAGCATCAAACACAAAATGACACAGAAATCAAGAAAATTCAAGAAAAAGCACCTAATAAGCCCTTTGGTTATAAAGGCAATAATCAGTGGTCTTTCTCAAATTTTCTATTCTCAAAGGAAGAGAAAATTTGAGAATAGAAAATTTGAGCACATTCGATTAGGGACTTCCATTCAAAAAAGAGAGCCCAGTGATTAGCAAAAATTTTGTACCAGAGTAGCTAGAAAGTATTTTATGACCTGACGAATTTGATCTCAGTTGCTAAATCTCAATTTTGCTTTTGCTTTAGAATTTGGAAAAGCTATGACCAATAACTCTCATGATATATTTTACGATGTTTTGCAACGCGAAGCAATCCTCGACTATAATCGTACTCGGCAAGAGATTGTCGACTATTGGACGTATATTTGGACGCCATTTAAAGAACAGAACTGTCCCATTATATCCGCCCAAATCAATTCATCTTGGATCAAGGTTAAATTTGGGCTTTTTGAAAAATTTCCATTTAACAATCAGCAATTTTGTACCGAGGTAGTACCGAGTAAGGTTGCCGTATTTCCTGTAATTGAACCCATCAGGCACAATTTTTTCATTCCCCCTCCAGAGTGGAGCTCTATTAGAGGGGGCTTCTGTTAAAGGGATAGGGCCCCATGGGGCTTTATTTTCTCAAGCACCTCTCTTCAAGAAAGAGCAATAAATTTGGTTAGACTTTAGTTTACCCCCTCCCCAAGCCTTGCCATAATTTTCAAAGCAAAACGCAACAACGATGGCCACATTGGAAATTTCAAAAGATTTTTCCACAAATAACAAACTAAATCAACAGATACCTGGGTTAAAACGAAAAATGATCAAATAAAAATAAAAACTGAAAAAACTGAAATAAAAATCAATCAACCAAAATATGCAAGGTTAACAATTGGTCAGATCAATTGAAGTACTGGAATTAACAAAGCCACCGTTTTCCTCATTTTCCTTCGTTTCTTCACGAAACTGACAAAATGATTTAAAGTTTCCTTAAAGATTGTTTACTTGTTTCTCCATACGAGCATCCTTTAGCATTTGAATTCCGGTAGAAATAGAAATAGAAGCATTTGGGTTGAAACAATTAGAGGGTGGGGCTCACTTAGAGAGATGGGGCTCTATTATTTTATAGCTCTATTAGAGGAGCTCTATTAGAGTGGAGCTCTATTATAGGGATGGGGTTTCAATTACAGGAAATACCGTATTCTTGTAGAAGTTTAAGAAATATTGACGCAAATTAAACAGCTGATAAAGGTGACCACCGTTCCCTCTTATCCGAATGGCCTGCCAATCCGACCCGAACAAATGCCCGCCAGCGTTCCTCCCGTGGTCGCCTTGCTTTCCGTGGTCAGTTGGTTTGCATGGTGGTGGAAAATGAAAGAGATCAAAGTGAACAAAATTTGAAAGGAATAACTAAACGGTTTATCTAGTAACTACTGTCTAAAGTGGTCCTCTTTTCGTCAGTCCTACATGTCTAGCTTCCTTCTAGATAGACTAACGAAAATATTAGGTTGGCTGATAAGTCTTTGGATGCCAGTTAAAAAGCTATTTAAAAATAACCATTTCACCCTTGGAGGATTGCTCCATTAGAAAAACCTGATCTTTCTTTATAAAAGATCTTTAAATTCTTAAGAAATATTTTTTTTCTGGACTTTTGTGCAGAGGTGCGAACTCCAAAGGAAAGGTGACGACTCGATTACGCGATTTAGACACTTTCGTTCAACGAAGCCGATTTTGGTTTTAATAGAAAAAGAAAAAGCGCAAAAAGTTGGGTTTAGAGTCGTATTTTTAGAACAATCTGTTTAGCCAATTCTTATTTTTAGCCCATTTACAATACCTTTATTGAATTTTAGGCAGAACGAGTTTTTACGCTCGAATTTTCTTGGAAATGGGCCCAGATTGGTGTAAAAAGATAGATAAGTCTTTGAATAAACATCTTTTGTTTAGAACAAATTGTAGGTCAATTGGTGAACTTTTCATTTATAAACAGATTTAGAAAAAAAGGTGTACAAAGACTTATCGGGGGCTAACCTGATAGTAGAAAAAAATCGCCACAAAAGCAATTCTTTTTAGCTTCCTAACTTTATAAGTGTTATCTGAGCCTCAAAAACCTCCCTAATAAGTTAGAATTGTTCATGGCCCTTTTGTAAAGCGACTATTCTTGGACTCGAGCTTTTCTGAATTTGGAAGAAATAAAGAGTGGAAGTACAAGTGTTACTAAATGTGTCATTTCTAGGTGGGCACCCTCGAAGCCGCCTCGCTCATCTTGACAATTTGGGTGATTGTAGGGCGACGAAATCTGAGCAAAGCCGTCAAATTGTACATTATGGCTGATCTAATCACAAGACTCCTCTTTGCCATCAGCCGATTCAATCGTGTCATCTGTATATTAACGTGAGATTCTTTTGACATGTAATTGGGACTGGGTTAGAATTGGAAATTCCGTGAAAGCCAAATATTTTCCAGCTGGCACTGTGTGTCGACTGATGGCTACCCATTTTCGTGGTTAATGCTCAACTTAATCACATCAGCTTTCGAGTTTGGGCTTGAGCTGATGCTGAAACTAGTGGCCGTCGCTTTCAGTGTCAATCGGTGAGAGTTTTGTTGCTTTTTGCATTTGAATTTTTTCAACAGCTTTTTCGCTGTCTACTTCAATGGACTATACTACTCGAGATTTGAGCGTTCGGCCTTTTTACAATGCTTCCTATTGACCATCTTTCCGGCGGCCGCTTATCTTGTCTCAATCGGCACATGTAGGACTTTGAAAGAGTAACAAAAGTTTTTTCTAAAATTCGTTAAATAAGTCGATGATTTTTTTCATTCATTCAATTCATTTCCATTCAAAAAGATAGAGGGACATTTGATACACGCCCTTTGCGATTGGCAATCTAACTTTGAACTCAAATATCTTGGTGTTGGGCTGTTCAATAAAAGTTGACCAACGACAGAGAAGACTGGCGCACCAAAATACCAAGAATATTTAAATTGGACAGCTCAACACCAAGATATTTAAGCCAAAGTTGGATTGCCAATGAAAAACGAGATGGGACTTATCAAACGTCCAATAACCTGGGACAAATGCCATCCCAAAACGGCAAAAAAAAATCTTGCCCTTGAAATTTAAATTGTAAGTCAATTTTTAGGTAAAATGAACCTATTATTAAAAATTCTTGGCGCACTCTATGCAAATTTCCTTTACTTTCGCCTTATAAGTCGAAAAAAACGACCGGGGAGTCCTCGGATCTTGCATTCCGCAATTTTTTTTCTGGCTACGGGCCTGCTACTTTAATTTTCATTCATCCATTCATACAGTTCAGTTCAGATTAATCAATTCAGTGACGAACAAGTCGACCGACTATGTGTGTTATGGTGGAACGTTCTTCAATCCTGCCAACTATCTATTCACGTGGTTCTACTCGTGGAAGCCCGGGTGGACGAACACTTGGGAGCTCGTGGCCGAGTCGTGGGTGGTACCCATTTCGGGTGTCTCGGCTCTCATTCTCGATTTGCTCACGATGCTGAAGATTCGACAAATGGTTTGCTATATTGGGAAGAAAATTATTGAGAAAATAGAGTTTTTTTAGAAAAGGTTTGTCGATTCGAAGCAAAAGATCAAAGGCGATAGAACGCTTTTAATCATGGTAAGTTTGAAGCAATAGCTCTAGGATGGTTCTATTTGATTAAATACTTTTTTGGATCAATAAACGACTGGCACCCTCTTTTCTAGATTTTCATCACCCATCTGATCACTATGATCCGTTGGATGCAAAACAAAGTGATCCGAATCGATGTGAGATCCGACTACGAGCACACGATACTCAATCAATACTATTATGCGACCATACCCGTGACGCTCTTTCGATTTGGGCAAACGTGAGCCAAAAAGTTTGGTGTTTTCCTGTTATTGGGAGGAGCGGAGATTTTTGGCAAGGTTGGGGGACCAACTTAGGCAGGTACCGACGTATGCATTAGTGGTGCACATACACTAGGGATCACACCTATAGAATGTACTGTATTCTCTTTAATAGTATCGCGCTATACTATTTTTACAACCCCTCCGAGCTCACAAAACTATTAGAGAGCTTTAGCATCCAAATAAATAATATATGCTATTTCTTTTTTAAATAAAAAGAAATAGCATTTTCTCGAAAAATCCTGCAAAATGAACCACTTTCTTTAAATTTTTTAGCGAAACATTTAAAAACAAAACAACAAGACATGATAAAAATTAACTAGTCAAGAAATCAACAATAGAACCGTTATCCGAATCTCCATCTAATTCAATATTTTCAAAAGTCAAGAAAGATTCCGGTCTCATCACATGCGTAGATCGAACAGTACGTATTCTTCTTTCGCAAACACACCAAGTAAAGAATGTGATCGATCAATGCCTGGACGTATTCCTGCGGCTCCTTCTGGCGTACAGCTGTGGACCACAGGTCGAAAATTCGCGTCTTTCCATGAATCGATTGAACTATCCCTCTGATGCCGCAAACTCCTGATCTTCTTGCCAAATTAACTTCGATTTTGGATCATCTTTCGAGTCAACGTATCTTCTTCGTTCGTGTTTCTCGAATCCAATTGACCAGCTCCTTGTCGTAATTGGCATCGTTGAGTTTTCGTCCCCCACCCTTGATCTCTTTTGTCCCCTCTCCTTTTTTGTTGTATTGCTTTTCGATTTCGTCCTTTTGTTGGCACTATTGCTGAAGATTTTGTCGACTAATTCCGAATTTCCTCGCTCCAGCCGTCTTGCCCTTCATTTTTTCAGGCAATGCGATCGCGGGGAGTTTTGTACCGACATTAAAGCATCGTTTCTTCTTCGTTGCCGGTTGTTCCGAATCCGAGTCGTTCGTCGACATTTAAATAAAAAATTATTTGTGCAAAAGAAAGGCATAAAAATTATTAAGAAAACAACAACAAATAGTAGAAGAGGATGTTTTCAACTTTAAATTATTCAAAACTATAAACACCAAAAACTTAAATGCTAATTTTTAGTTCATTTAAATTTTGTCAATACTATTTTTTCAATCCCCTCCGAGCCCGCAATACTATTAGGGAGAAGACGGTATGAATTCCTTGCTGTATATGCTGCGCTCCCCTCCCTGAGCCTGCCTAATTTGGTCCCTCAACTATAGTAGATCTCCTCGCCCGCTCCCCTGCCGATAATGTCCCCTTCCCAATGACAGGAAAGTACCAAAAGTTTTCAGATTTTTCTTCTTGTTCTTGTATTCTCATACATATACATTCAAGAGTAATATCTTAGTGAGATGGTTGGATAGTAGCTATGGAAAGTAGACATGCTTAACGATACTAATTACCGTTAAGGGGTAGCGGCTCTTTTTGTGTTTGATTAGGCAGCTAAGAAAATATTTCATTACGTAGTTTTATAGGTAGGAAAAGATTGCTCTATTAAGCAAGTCTAATGGAAAACAGAATAACGAGTAACTTTGTTATTTGTCAAATGTTATGTTAACAATGTTAACAAAAGGAACATTTGGTCTTTTATCAGTTAAATAAAACTAAATAAGTATCATATGCACTCTTTTAGACTTGGAAAAAAGAACGCTAACAAAAGTATTTTTCAGATTTTGTATTCTTGCCTTCAATTGGCCTCGAAAGGAAAGGAAAGGACGGAAGGATGAAACATCGAAAGTGACCACTGTCCTGAAGGTTTCTCCTGTCGAGTAAATGTTTTTTTGAAGACAACACAAAGACAATGTCACTTTTTCACTTTCAAAATCTTCAAGACATAGGTTAACTTTGATTTTATCCCGTAATCGTCGTCTTTTTCGTTTTCATACGCGAAATTGATGCCGAGTTCTTTGTTCTGATTCTCGAGAGCGTCCTCGATTCGGTTTTTCAAATGTTGCTCGTATTTGAGTTGAGCACTGAAAAGGAAATTATTATAGTAGTGAATTATTATAGTGAATTATTATATTATGATAGTATGGTCGAAAATCCTTTCATGACAACTCGATCATGTGTCTTTGGACCGTTAAAAAGGGTTACCGTAAATACTGCAATAGTACCCCACCCCCATAATGACGGTGCGGAGTGTTGCGTAGTCTAGCTTTGAACGCGTTTTTCTCGACACTGGTTTATGCTACCATGCGCGCGTAGGTATCAAAAAATAGCCCTGAATTTTAGCTATTTTTTAATACCAAAGACGCATTTTTTTGAAAGCACGGGCGCTTTGAAAAAAATGAAATACTAAAAAACTTTTGCGACTACGCGACTGTACGAGGGGGGTGGGGTACTATTACAGTATTTACGGTAAGTGAAATCCCAACGGCCTAGGAATAGGTCCCAGGCTTAGGGCTTTTCCCAAAAGTTTTTCAGGGCCTTCGAAATTATAGAAACAATCCTGGTTACAAAGAAAGTGTATTCACTCTAAGAATGCACTTTCTGAAATGTGCTTTCTTTCGGAATTCACGTACTCTTGCTGTTTGCCCTCATCCTAGGTGTGCTTTTGGTCTCATTTAATTTCCAATCTGATTACTCATCTGGTATCAAAATCATGAAGATTTAGCGAAAAAAAGACTACGATAGATATAGGTAGCACGCCCTAGAGAAGTTTAAAAGGGAAACATTCTAGTGAACACAAAGTGTTCAATCACGAACAAAAACAACTTTAGAACACTCAAATGTCTTTAATCGAGAAAAAGGAGACTCACAAAAGCGTTCCTCCAGGGCTCGAAGGGAGTGTTCGGCCCGAAAAAACGTGACGATGAATCCGGCGATAAAGCGGTCTCATAAAGCAACCACAAAGAGCAAAAATCGTTGTCAGCGACATGATCCTATAAAGCTTTTACTAGACTCGGTTATCAATAGCATATCAATAGCAAAATAGGTAATTTTAAGTACTACGTAATTAGTAAAAGAAATAACTTTCTCAGTATGAATTTGACAATAAAATTTATAATTCCCATGCTTTATAATCCTTCTCCTAAACTTAAAAAAAAACAGAAATCTGGAACGAGTCGGAAATCGGACCCTGGGTTCTTTCTTTGGTATTAATATTGATATTGGTAACTATTGATAAGCTAAAAGTAAAGCTTATTCAAATCTAGACTCCTTACATTAATACAAAACTGTAGACAAATGTGACGGAATCCGAGATGAAAGTCTCCGTTCCGTTCACAGCATTGTTCATCTGAATAAAGGTGGACATCTCCTCATTTGTAAGACTGATTTATGAGAGGAATTCAGGCTTACGAACTCTGGATTCGTTTTTTCTTGTTATCAGTACCATGAACTTTTTCCCCTTTGACTATTGCAGTCGTAAAAAATTCGGACACCAACAGCGGCTTCTGTTATCGGCTCAATTTGGGTACACGACAAAAGAAAATTCGACATAAAAAACTGAGCTTGTCGCCAAAAAACCAAAAATTTACACAAAAAAACTGGAAATTTATTGCAAGGAAAACCTACCGCTTACACAAAGGTTACGAGTTATCTATTGTACTGTCTGTTGCACTTTCAGAATATCGGAGATAAGGATCTCATGATTTAAAATATATATATACAGCTAGAGATCATAGAAACTAATAATGTTTCTGGCTATTGCTTCTATTGCAATTTGATAAAGTATGTCAATGGCTTGGTTTTATAATATTTACCAGTCGAAAGACCCACCTAACGGTGCATTTTTTTGGCTGGGTGTTTTGGGTCTAACGCATTAGTTTGCTCTCTCGAGTTAAAGAGCCCTCTCCATGTCTGTAAACATTTAAGGCAAAAAAGTTTGAAAGGGAAACGAGAATCGAACCCGACACCCCTCTGGGGGCAGTCGTTTTGTGAACGGGAGGACTCTAACCACCGCGTTTGGTGAAATCGGTTCACGGGGAGTTTGACGGACGGACGAACGGACGGACAGACAGCCCTCAATTATATATAGTAGATCCAAATTGGTTCAGTGGTAAGTTCAATAATCTGCGCCTGCCTAGAAGGGGGCTATCCCCAACCAGACCTGAAAACTTTCTTTCTGTTAAGCGCCGGATTTTTGGTTTCTTACATGAGAACACAAAACATTTGAACCAGCTAAATCTATTTCCGGAAGCTTCCCTCAATATTGACACACGATGATTTAATATGCTCTTTTTCGTCCCAAAGCTAATGCAAAAGGAATGGTTGGTACGCTCAGGTGCGACGGATTATTGCTACTATTTGCAGGTATAATTCCAACTTGTCTTAAGTGCCAAATTCAAAATTTCTTTAATTTTTTAGAATTTCACTTACACTTTCACCTACACTGACGGGATACAATGGCAAATATACAGCCTACCGGCAGCCGAATCGAGAATCGTCAGCGAATTATCAACGAATGGGCGGCCATCCAGTATCAATTCATAGCAAAATTGAGGACGATTTTGTTTATGATGCTCTTTTTATAAAAATTATATACGGAAAAGTTCCTTTTTAGGTCTAGGTTATTCGAATGTAAAAGACTACACAAAAATGACCCACCAACTATCAATGGGCTTCGATCGGCTATTATGGGAGTGGAGTCGTAAGCGTGGAGTCGTGGGATCGGGGACGCGGACCGTTGGATCCCAAGTTAATTACACATTTGGATAATTTGACACGATGTATTATTGGACTGTGAGAATTAAGCTCGAATAACTACGACTACCATTACCATTTAGATCACAAATGACCCGTCTTGTGTTTTTTGACTAGTTGGTGGGGTCTATATTCGTTGGCCTATATTGATAATCCTCAACCGGCAGCCCGTTTCGTCTGCAAGCTGCCATCGAAAGGTCGTGTGATGAGAGAGAAATTCAGAATTTAAAAATAAAAAAAGAAATAAAGTTTTAAATACTGGTAATTGTCTTAAGCCTTCGTCTTGAGTCTTAAGCAACATCTATCTTATTTTAGTTTTGCTACGTTGCACAGTAAAAACTCTTTCACTAAAACTGAATGAATCACAACGTCTTGTCAATCGCAGTTAGGGTTTCCGAATACCCGAAGTCTTTCTAGGGTAATTCAGTTTATTTATTTATTGTATTTACTTACACAATCCTCATCTTTTCTGACCGCAGTCGGTATTTTTCCTTCAATTGAATGTTTTTTTCAGTCCTGAGCAAGAGAATTCAATCATTTCACTCAAAATAGTGCAAAAACTTAGTTTCTTTTGTTTCTTGCACAAAGTCTTACACAAAATTGTTTTGCTCACATTTACTGGATAAAGGAAATTGAAGGAAAACAATGCTCATCCACAAGAAAAACAATGAAAAAGCCCGGAGTGAAACGAAAATTGAAGAAACATGAGATCGTTTGGTTCCCTATATTAAGCGGATAATCATGGAATCACCCATTCTACACCATCATTTTCCCACCCGAAAATTTCTTGCCTAATCATTTGTCTTTCAAGATGGCACGCCATTTGGCCAGTTATCTACATGTCTACGAGAGTCCTTTACTTCCTATGGGGTATGAGAAGCTCGCTAACAATTGTTCAAGGCTAGCGAAAAATGAACCTGTCTTCCCTAAAAATGACCAGCGCAGTCTAGGCCAGAGGCCAGCTCACTCTAGAGTTCCAAAATTCTGACGGGATAATATCTGAAATCTGAAATGAAAGCGAATACTTCATTCTTCCTTTCTTTTTCTGCCTTGAAGCAGATCAAAATGTCCAAAAACCGTATCGGCTTGGTCTTTCCAGTTTTAGCCGAAAGATTCACCAAGAATTTTGACCAGGGTTTGACCTTGACCCCGCGCTTCCCGTACAACTACTTCGTCACCGCTGAACGGTCGGTGTTGAAAAAAAATCGGCTTAAAAGGAGAGACTCAGAACTTTTATGCTAGTTTGGCGATGATTATCCACCATTAGGCAGCTAATTTTTAGATCATTGGAATCAGCGTAAAATTCTGCGTCAAATGGCCTATATATCATCGGAAAAGACCACGAGACCCAATCATCCTTCCAATTTTAGTTTTTAGCCGAATGCCTCGATCTCGATCCTGCCAACTTGATCTTTTTTCAGTTCTACTAAACAAGACAAGTACGATTCACGACAACGAACAGCTTCCTGGCTCCTGGTGACCCATTGTGTGTTAACAAGTGGACTTGCCCTGTCAACCATCGTCCTAGCAACAGGGTTTGAACTTCTAACCACTTGTTCCATCAAATGTTTAGTACTTGGAGAATAATCCAAACGCCAACCTGTTACAAGGATTGGATCTATCTCGAAACGAATGGCTTCTGCTATTATTTTCAGGTAAAACAATGACTTTCTCCCTGCAAGAAAATCTTTTAGAATTTCACTGATCCAGCTGTGAAAAACTCGGAAATGTTCACTTTTTCGGAGGCCGAGAGAAATTGTAAACGAATGGGAGGCCATCTTGTCTCCATACACTCCCCGCAAGAGCTTAATTTTCTCAAGAGTTTCTTTTTCAAAGATTTTTCCTACGAGCCTTTTATCTAATTTGGAAGAGAGCTTTCTTGAGAGGGAAAAACTTAACGACAGTTTCTTCTTTTTACTGTAAACTACCATACTTAGAGTTTCTCACTATTCACAACTCTGTAATTAGTTTTGCAGAAATATTAACTCTATTTATTAACTATTAATATTTACTAACTTTACCCAACCGGGAGCTCCGGATGTGGTTCATTCGGCACGATAATTACACCGGGGAGCGGGATCAAACCCGAGTCTCTAATTCCAAAGATAGCCACACTGGCATTGCGCCACCCCGGCACGACACCAGTGTGGCCCAAATATAAGCCCAAATCTCTGAAGCTCTGCCGTTTAGACTTGACCCTAACCGATTCGACTGGCTCCGGTTTGGTGATGAACGCGAATGGGGTGTGCGTGAAGAATCGCTCGGTGTGGATTGGTTTGCATCAAGAGCATGGACAACGCTGGTAGGCCAGGGATACCATTCACATAATGTTAGTCACCGTTATTCAGTCATCAGGTATATGAGTCCTTTCTTGTCTCGGTTAAGTCCTAAGCTTTAAGCTAACTGTTTTCCTAGCTGGAGCGAAGTTAGTGACGTTAGTGTGAGGAGGCTAAGGGAAGGAAGTAAAATAATTCTCCTGCAAAATAAGAAAAAAGACAAAGAAGATGGCCTGACCCATGAGTAAACATTAATCCTCCCAAAAATTATAAATAAATCTCTGGGATAACGGATACTACTCAAATAACTGTTGCAGGTGGACAGATGGATCACCGGATGTCTTCATTGGAGCGGATGGGCCAGAGTACATACATTGGACGGTAGAATGCCCTTGCTGATTAACATGTTAATTTCCTCAATTAGTTATGTGATGATGCTGCCAACAAGGAGCCCTTCCTTTTCTATCGAATGAATCGAATGAATTCGAGCGAGAAATTTGCGACGAGCAGATTTGTTTGCAAGAGGCGATCGAGTGTTTGGCCGCTTCGTCTGTCATGAGAAAAATAAATCTTGACTTGTATCGAAAGAATTTCAAATAATTAAATAATAAATTAACAAATAAATGAATGATTTTAACTTTTCTTTAACTTTAGCTATAAGAAATTCACAATCAATGAACAATCGCAAAAATCTGTACGGCTCACATCAACGAGAGGATTCGATCGGTTGTTTGGTGGAATCGACACGGCTAAATCGAAGAGATACTTTCGAAGGGCCAACTTTAAACTCACTCTTTCCGTCGAATCTCCTTTCCTCATCTCGCATTTCAACGAAGACGTCTTTGATCGTATTGGCTGCCGACGATTTCGGTTTCTAAAACAAAACGTTTGCCGGATTTTTTTTTAATTTGGCGGTTTGAAACTTGCATAATTCTGAGTTGCTAGAACATCTTTCATCTAAACTATTAAAATACTTCAAAGCCAAAATCTCCTTGTGATTTCCTCAACCATTGTTGCAAGACTCGATTTTTGGGCAGCTGTATTTCAAACCGTTTTCAGCGTTCCCATATAGAAAGTGTAGTGGTGGTTTGAGTGGCTACTCAAACAGTTGATGTCATTTTTATTGAAGTAACCCCACTCAAAGCCTTTTCCAACACTCATAACTACACATGTGTAACATATGAAAACTAAAAGGAGTCTGAAAACATTTTAAATGCTGAATATTTTCCGATTTTACATCACCAACGGTTGAATCGCTTTAAATATTTAGTTCTTTTGACGAATTGCATAAAAGACTTCATAACTTCATAACGTCATAATGTGTTTTTAAATAGATGAGCCTAACTTCGTTCAAACTAAAAAAATGAATCTCTCTTGTTTATTGCATTCAGAATACTTGAGAAAGAAAAAAGGGTATCCTTTCTTATCAAATTTAAAAGTATTCAGTGAACAATCAGCTGAATAATTTTAAATTTGACAAGAAAAGATGTTTGCTTACAAAGGAATGACCAGACCTGGCGGTGGGATCTTCACTGAAAGTTAAAAAAAGCGTCTATCGACTACGCTGAACACAATGGTGAAATCCATTTTTGTGAATGAGCGATAGTTTTTTTTGCAAACATACTTTAAATTTCGGGTCGGGGATCAAACCAGGGTTACGAAAATTTGAATCATATTCTATACTCACCCGGCCACGGCGACACTTTATGCCGTCTTTAAGGGCTTTATTACTGGAAGCGTAAAAATCGAAAAATGGCCTAAATCATGCGGCAACCAAAGTGTCTCTTGAGAATACACATCGATAAGGCGAGCGGATATCTACCAAAGAACTCGACCAACCACCCAACAACACTATCGCCTCCAGAAGATAATTCGACAGCCAAACCTTTTAAGATTTTTCTTTTTACGATAACTATTGCTGGTTGGAATTTGTGGCTCTAAGTTTGTTACTGTTCATTGAATAGGACCTTCTTTAACATTCCCCACAATAGCTCTACAATTTTCTTGTACTCTCGACTTTTTGGTTTTAATTTGCTAAATGACTAGGACCATCCCATTTACAATAAGACCCCAATTCTACAGGAAATTAAGGAAGTAAGTAAGTAGTAAGTAAGGAAGTAAAGTAAGTTTTCTGCTAGCACTTTACAATCACACTTGACATAATCACGACGAAGGGACTCGAATCGAGGGACTCATACGATGGGTTCCTCGATTTTTTAGCCTGAGTCGTCAGATCGACCTTTGTGAGAGTACCAAATCAATAGTGGGGGATCCAAATCCAGTGTTAAATTTTTTGAAAATGTCCCCTTAGCAAGATTTTGTGCCTTTTTCGCTTGGGTAACATGGCGTAGACGTCCCGTCTCTCTTTCGACTCTCATTTCACGGCAGTTTGGTGAAAAACGGCCTCGTCGTGAATGTGTTAAGAAATATTTCCTTAATCAGTTTTTTCACGATTTACATCTTTTCAAAATGTTATAGCGAAAAATCAAGAAAAGTCAAAATTATTTATTTATTTATTATTTAATTATTTGAAATTCTTTCCATACAATTCCGCATGGCAGATGAGGGCGGTCAAACACTCGATCGTCTCTTGCAAATATATCGGCTCGTCGCGAATTTCTCGCTCGAATTCATTCGATCCATTCGATAGAAAAGGAAGGGCTCCTTGTTGGCAACATCATCGCAAAACTAATTGAGGAAATTAAAGTGTCAATCAGAAATCGCAATCTACCGTCCAATGTATGTACTCTCGCGGATCCGCTCCAATGAAGACATCCGGTGATCCATCTGTCCACCTGCAACAGTTATTTGAGTAGTATCAGTTATCCCAGCGATTTATTTATAATTCTTGGGAGGATTAAGGTTAACTGATGGGTTACGCCTTCTTCTTTGTCTTTTTTCTTATTTTACAGGAGGCTTATTTGAGGCAAGCCTCAAATAAAAAGGCTTGCTTTAGCCTACTCAAACAAACGTCACTAAATGGCTCCAGCCAGGAAAACAGTTATCTTAAAGCTTAGGACATAACCTAAATAAGAAAGGACTTATATACCTGATGACCGAATAACGGTGACTAATACTTTGTGAATGGTATCCCTGGCCTACCAGCGTTGCCCATGCTCTTGATGCAAACCAATCCAGACCGTGCGATTCTTAAAGCACAGCCCCTGCGCGTTCATCACCAAACCGGAGCCAGTCGAATCGGTTAGGGTCAAGTCTAAACGGCAGAGCTTTAGAGATTTGGGCTTATATTTGGGCCACATTGGGGTCGTGCCGGGGTGACGCAATTCCAGTGTGGCTATCTTTGGAATTATAGACTCGGGTTTGATCCCGCACCCCGGTGGACCGGCTCATGACCCAGGTCTTTAACGCAAGAAGCCGACCCAACCGTCTTCGTCTATCCAGGGATCGTACCAATAAGAGTAGGGATTATGTAGGAGTGGGCTAAGCTAAGATTTAGCCCAGTACTGTGCGTGTGTCGAATTGTAATTGGAGCCCCCGGTTGGGTAAAGTTAGTTAATATTAATAGTTATAAATTTATTATTAGTTATTAAATAAGTAGAGTTATTAGATAAGTAGAGTTAATATTTCTGCAAAACTAATTACAGAGTTGTGAATAGTGAGAAACTCTAAGTATGGTAGTTTACAGTAAATGAAGAAACTGTCGTTAAGTTTTTCCCTCTCAGTAGAGTTTTCTCTTCTAAATTAGATCAGAGACTCAGAAAAAAATCTTTTTCACAGTTTTATGACACCTAGTGTACCCGCTTTTCCCATCAATGAAACAAACTCTTGAGAAAATGAAGCTCTTTCGGGGAGTGTATGGAGACCAGATGGCCTCCCATTCGTTTACAATTTCTCTCGGCCTCCGAAAAAGTGAACATTTCCGAGTTTTTCACAGCTGGATCGGTGAAATTCTAAAAGGTTTTTTTTGCAGTGAGAAAGCCATTGTTTTACCTGGAAATAATAGCAAAAGCCATTCGTTTCAAAATAGATCCAATCTTCGTAACAGGTTGGCGTTTGGTTTGTTCTCCAAATGCTAAAGATTTGATGGAACAAGTGGTTGGAAGTTCAAACCCTGTTGCTAGGACGATGGTTGACAGGGCAAGTCCACTTGTTAACACACAAAGGGTCACCAGGAGCCAGAAAGCTGTTCGTTTTGGTGGATCGTACTTGACTTGTTTAGTCGAACTGAAAAAAGATCAAGTTGGCAGGATGGAGATAGAGGCATTCGGTTAAAAACTAATAAAGGGAGGATGATTGGGTCCGGTGGTCTTTTCCGATCTTTTCGCAGAATTTTTGAAGGCTGATTCGAATGATGTAAAAATTAGCTGCCTAATGGCGGATAATCATAGCCAAACTGGTATAAAACATTTGAGCCGTCTCTCCGTCGCTCATTTTAAAGCAATTTTTTTTCAACACAAACCGTTCAGCGGTGACGAAGTGGTTCAGCAGTGTACGGGAAGCTTAGGGTCAAGAGTTCGAACCCGCCGCGTCTCATTTTTTTGCTTTTTCAAACAAAAGAACGTAGAATGCACAAAAGCAATGAGGGGGCTTGGGTTCGAACTCTTGACCCTCAGTTAGCTGTACAACCACTAAACCAGTCGGCCACCGATCAACAGTTTGTTTTGAAAAAATTCGGCTTAAAGGGTGAGGCTCAAAACTTTCATGCCAGTTTTGCAATGATTACTCGCCTTTAGACAGCTAATTTTTAAATCATTGAAATCAGAATAAAATTCTGCGTCGAATGGTCTATAAATCATCGGAAAAGGCCACGAGACCCAATCGTCCTTTCCTTGAAAGTAAGTTGCTGATTCCACGATTACTCAATTTTTTATTATAATCTACGAAGCCAAAAAGCTTGTTTTTTCTTCAAACTTTTGATTTCTCCGTGATTCTTTCAATTAGCTGATGTCTAGGCTAGACTAAGCAGTAGATAAGGGAAGAATAGCCCAAAGAGCCTGTAGCAACCCTAGTCAAAATTCTTGGTGAATCTATCGGCTAAAACTGGAAAGACCAAGCCGATACGGTTTTTGGACATTTTGATCTGGTTCAAGGAAGAAAAAGAAAGGAAGAATAAAGTATTCGCTTTCATTTCAGATTTCAGATATTATCCGGTCAGAATTTTGGGACTCTGGCCTAGACTAAGCTGGTCATCGGAAAGACGCTAGCCTGGAAAAATTGTTAGCGAGCTTCCCATACCCTATAGGAGGTAAAGGACGCTCGTTGACATGTAGATTGTCATCGTAGATGTTCGAATTGTGTGCCATCTTGAGAAACAAATGAATAGGCAAGAAATTTTCGGTTGGAAAATGATGGTGTAGAATTGGTGATTCCATGATTATCCGCTTAATATAGGGAACCAAACGATCTCTTGATTCTTCAATTTTGTTTTCATTCTGGGCTTTTTCGTTGTTTTTCTTCTGGATGAGCATTGTTTTCCTTCAATTTCCTTTCTCCAGTAAATGTGAGCAACACAATTTTGTGTAAGACTTGGTGCAAGAAACAAAAGAAACTGAGTTTTTGCACTATTTTGAGTGAAATGAGTCATTTCTTCTGCTCAAGACTGAAAAAAAACATTCAATTGAAGGTAAATACCGGCTGCAATCAGAAAAGATGAGTATTGAGCAAATAAGTAAACTGAATTACATCAGAAAAACCTCGGGTATTCGGAAACCCTAACTGCGATTGACAAGGCGTTGTGTTCATTCAGTTTTAGTGAAAGAGTTTTCCCTAAAAATTTTCCAATTTCTCTACCTCTCTGCCTCGGCCATAGGAGAGAAACTGCGCGTTTATCGTACCCAGAGAGTACAAACCACCTCGACTTCAAAAAAGCATCTTCTGGCAAATGGAACCTTTTTCAAATGGTTTAATTACCCAGGTTTCGAGAAGGCGCGCGTTTATGTCTATCATCAAGGTACAAACACATTTCCCAACAAAAAAACAAATTTTTTCAATAAAACTTAAATATATTTTTTCTTTCTTAACATTTTTACAATCATTTTTCAAATTTTAATTTTTAATCAAATTTTAATCAAATTTTAATCAAATTTTCAAACAAATTTGAGTTCTAGAGTATCTTTTCACATCAAAACCAGTACTGGACCCTTCAGTATATATAGTATAACAGGCCTGTTGTAATACAGATTATTTGTTTTGCTATATACTAACAGTGACATTGTATTATAATAATAAGGGTAAAGGAATGATTTAATTATTTAGTCACTGTTAGTATATAGCAAAATAAATAATCTGTATGACAACAGGTCTGTTATAATACAGCTTCAGTACAAGGGATTTGCTGTATATACAGCTTCAGTACCGAATGCTTCAGTAGCGAAGGCTTCAGTACCCAATGCTTCAGTACCGAAGGCTTCAGTACCGCAGGCTTCAGTACCGAAGGCTTCAGTATCTTCAACTTAAATTAAACGCCTGTTGCCCGACCCTCTAGGGAATCTCTAGGTCTTTAGGTAGACAGTTATTTCAGCTTTGTCACCAATTTTCTCTATGTTTTTATCGGTGAGTCTACAAAACAGATTCTATATTTCTTTATTCAAATTTAATGTAGAATAAAACTAACCATAAGTTAATTGAACTTCTTTATCTTGAGTTATACACGAATCGGACTGTTGTAATACAGCTTAAGTACAAGAGGTTTGTTATAAGGTTTTTCTCTATGTTTTTGCCGGTGACTGAAGGCTTTCAGGAACCCTTCAGTACTGAACCGGGGATAACTCAAATTTGTAAAGGATATGGGGTATCGGGATACCCCATAGGAAGGTATGGGGTATCCCCCGGAAAAGGCTTTTAGTTTCGTTTCGTACGTTTCGACGGTCTTTCCGTCGGATTTGGATTCCCCCCCGCCCCGACTAGAAATTAGTTACTTATCTTTGAGTCCCCCCCCATATTTACATAGAGTTTGCCTTGATTTCCATATGTTTCTCGCTTATAAAGGAAATTTTTCAAGTTTCAGTTATCATTCGAAGATGTCGGCCTATCAACAACTCTTCTCGCATCCGCTGTTGGCGCACCCCGGAAACGAGCGAAAGGACACGGTCTACTTGAAAGTCGCGCTGGTAGATGAAAAGAAAGGAGGCAGATTGACCATGGATCCAGTTGGTTTTTGCTTGTTTTATTTTACGGATCCAGAAAATAGTTACTTATCTTTGAGTTTCCTCACTTTTAACCGTGGTCTCTTAAGCGCATGAGCTTTCCACTCGTCTCTCCCGATCCCACGCCATGACGATCACTAACGAACATCCATCGGAGCCGATGTTCTGTATCGTAAGTCTTGTTTATCAGTGATAAAAGTACTTTATTTCCTAGCTTTATTCAGCTCAAGCGTTCGGAAAGTTGATGGAGGCGAAGGTTGCCGGTGGGGTCGCCTTTGCCGATGTGACTCATCAACTTGAGTCAGTGGCCGAATCGGTGCCACCAGCTCATCCAACCAAAGAATTTTGGAAAACTTTGGATGAGCTGGTGGCCCGTGGGAAGGGTCCCACCGATCAATCGACGTCGCCATTCACTTCACCACGCCATCGTCCATCTTCATCGATTGGTTCTGGACATCTCTCCACTGCATCGATCATCGGACAATCACCAGGGCCATCGACATCGTTCACCCAATCAACTCAATCGCCTCAAAAAGGTACGTTTTTTAGATTTGTCAAATATATTTTTTCTTTTTTCGCACGCACCATGCCTCTTCGCAACTTGAATGCCGCTCACCTTGCACAGGTTGCTGATCTTGGTGAGAATTTTTTGTTTCAGATTTCTAAATCCCCTTTCTTTACAGATCCTTCGACCTCGTCGCAGATCGTGCCTTCGACCCCGGGAAAGGGACGCAAGAAGACTCCCAGCCGTCACTCCGGCTTTCAACGCCGCTCCGGTGTGAAGAAGGTGACAGGAGTCCAGGATCCCAGCAAGCGTCGCAAGGTAAACTTGTTTTCTAATACTTATAAACTTGTTCTTGAATAGTTATTCTATGTTTTCTTTCAGGATGATGATGATAATGACAAGCCCAGCACCAGCACCTACCGTCTGGCCAAAGGTCCGTGATTTATAGTTTTTTTCGTGTTTGCGTGGCGCTCCTCGGACGCCCCTGGACCTTTCTTGGTTTAAACTAATAAATATTTATGGTTATTGCATCAAGGAAAAAATACAAAGGTCCCAAAATCCACTAAGTTTACAACAACAACAGCTTACAAAAAGTACTGCAGGGTGCAGGTATTTTCTGTGCCTTTTGTTAGGTGATTCCCCGGTTTTTTAGGTGGATTTGAGCTGCACGGCTAAAGCTAGGTCTAAAAAAGTATTTTCAAGCGATTTGAAAAAATGGATGGGTCGGACAGGAACTGATTTTGCCTAAATTTTTGAAAGCTCTTTCTCATAGCATTGCTTGGAGTTCATTTTAAAAATAGTAGGAGAATCCTTGAGCTATAAAGTCTATTGTATAGCTCTGGGCGGCAAGTGGCCAGTGATGTGCGTGGGAGTGGAGGTACAACAAGGGAATAGTGCGTGGGAGTGGAGGCACAACAAGGGCACTGTGGGAGTAAAAGCTTGCACTTAGAACTTAGGTTCAATTCTCTGAGCAATTCTAATTTGATGCGCATTCTCTGAGCAATCACATTGCACAAAGTCCGAATTATTATATGCTATTGAAAACTGAATATTGGAGTCCAATGGAACGGGCTGTCCACTGTGACCTTGTTCAAAAAAAGTGAAAGCGCAAGTGTCCGGAATGTTCCAGAAACAAAACTATCTGTTCTTATGAAATTCTTTACCAAAACATGGAATTTAATAAGATATTGAAATCACATGACGTAGCGGAATCATCCTGTACATCCAGTGATGACGTATCTCATAAATATTTTCTTCTATGATGTTAAGGTTCACTGAATCGACACTAATAGACAACAGAAAAAATATGCAAATCAAAAAAGGTATGACTTCCATAGTAGTCTAGCAATGCACTGACGCAATAAAACCGTTGATTACAGCATTTCTGCTAGCACTTTACAATCACACTTGACACAATCACGACGAGGGGACTCGAATCGAGGGACTCATACGATGGGTTCCTCGATTTTTTAGCCTGAGTCGTCAGATCAACCTTTGTGAGATTACCAAATCGATAGTGGGGGATCCAAATCCGGTGTTAGATTTGCATGCCTTTTAACTGGGTAACATGGCGCAGACGTCCTGTCGCTTTTACGACTCTCATTTCAGACGGCAGTTTGGTGAAAAACGGCCTCGTCAGGGAGCCGAGATCCAGAGTTTGACGAACGGACGAACGGACGGACAGACAGCCCTCAATTATATATAATAGATCCAAATTGGTTCAGTGGTAAGTTCAATAATCCGCGCCTGCCTAGGAGGGGGCTGCCCCAACCAGGCCTTAAAACCTCCCTTTCGTTAAGCACCGGATTTTTGGTTTCTTGCATGAGAACACAGACATTTGAACTAGCTAAATCTATTTCCGAAAGCTTCCCTCAATATTGGCACACGATGATTTGTTATGCTCTATTTTTGTCCGATAGCTAACGCTTTCTGAAAAGCTTTGTGTAATCTTTGAAAAGTGTAAAAATCAGTTTTTATTGATTCTCTGATCGTCTTGGTAAACCCGAAAACGGAACGAGTGCAGACAAAAATCCGATCCGGGAACCAAAAACACAAAAGGAACGGTTGGTACGCTCAGGTGCGACGATTATTGCTACTATTTGCAGGTATAATTCCAACTTGTCTTAAGTGCCAAGTTCAAAATTTCTTTAATTTTTTTAGAATTTCACTTACACTGACGGGATACACTGGCAAATATACAGCCTACCGGCAGCCGAATCGAGTTATCAACGAATGGGCGGCCATCCAGTATCAATTCATAGCAAAACGAGTCGTAAGCGTGGAGTCGTGGGATCGGGGACGCGGACCGTTGGATCCCAAGTTAATTACACATTTGGATCATTTGACACGATGTATTATTGGACTGTGAGAATTAAGCTCGAATAACTACGACTACCATTACCATTTAGATCACAAATGACCCGTCTTGTGTTTTTTGACTAGTTGGTGGGGTCTATATTGGTTGGCCTATATTGATAATCCTCAACCGGCAGCCCTTTTCGTCTGCAAACTGCCATCGAAAGGGCGTGTGATGAGAGAGAAATTCAGAGTTTAAAAATAAAAAAAGAAATAAAGTTTCAAATACGAAAAACGCTAATGACGCTATGGCGCTAACGTTAAAAACCAAGCAAGAACAAGAATTATTTTATTTATGGAATCACACGAAAAAGCAACAAATGGAGAACTGATAATTGTCTTAAGCCTTGAGTCTTGAGTCTTAAGCAAGATGTATCTTAGTTTTGCTTTTGTTTTGCACAGTAAAAACTCTTTCACCAAAACTGAATGAATCACAACTCCTTGTCAATCGCAGTTAGGGTTTCAGAAGACCCGAAGTCTTTCTAGGGTAATTCAGTTGACTTATTTATTCAATTTACTTACTCAATCCTCAACTTTTCTGACTGCAGTCGGTATTTTTCCTTCAAATGAATGTTTTTTTCAGTCTTGAGCAAGAGAATTCACTCATTTCAGGCAAAATAGTGCAAAAACTTAGCTTCTTTTGTTTCTTGGACAAAGTCTTACGAAAAATGGTGTTGCTCACATTTACTGGATAAAGAAAATTGAAGAAAAACAATGCTCATCCACAAGAAAAACAATGAAAAAGCCCAGAATGAAAACAAAAAGAAGAAACATGAGATCGTTTGGTTCCCTATATTAAGCGGATAATCCTGGAATCACCAATTCTACACCATCATTTTCCCACCCGAAAATTTCTTGCCTAATCATTTGTCTTTCAAGATGGCACACCATTTGGCCAGTTATCTACATGTCTACGAGAGTCCTTTACTTCCTATAGGGTATGAGAAGCTCGCTAACAATTGTTCAAGGCTAGCGAAAAATGAACCTGTATTCCCTAAAAATGACCAGCGCAGTCTAGGCCAGAGTCCCAAAATTCTGACCGGATAATATCTGAAATATGAAATGAAAGCGAATACTTCATTCTTCCTTTCTTTTTCTTCCTTGAAGCAGATCAAAATGTCCAAAAACCGGATCGGCCTCGTCTTTCCAGTTTCACCAAGAATTTTCACCAAGAATAGAGATTCACCAAGAATTTTGACCAGGGCTCCTATAGGCTTTTTGGGCTATTTTTCCCTTACCTACTGCTTGGTCTAGTCTAGAGGTAAGCTAATAGAAAGAATCACGGGAAAATGAAAAGTTTGAAGAAAAAACAAGATTTTTGGCTTTGTTGATTAGGATAAAAAATGAAGTAATCGTGTAATCAGCAACTAACTTCCAAGGGAAGGACGATTGGGTCTCGTGGCCTTTTCCGATGATTTATAGACCATTCGACGCAGAATTTTACTCTGATTCCAATGATGTAAAAATTAGCTGCCTAATGGCGAGTAATCATTGCCAAACTGGCATACAAGTTCTGAGCCTCCGAATTTTTTCTGTTGATCGCTGGCCGACTGGTTCCGTGGTTGTACAGCAAGCTGAGGGTCAAGTGTTCGAACCCAAGCCTTCTCATTGCTTTTTCGCATTCCTTTGTGTGAAAAATCAAGAAATGAGAAACTTTATTAGTTTTTAACCGAATGCCTCTATCTTCATCCTGCCGACTTGATCTTTTTCCAGTTCTACAAAACAAAACAAGGACGATCCAACAAAACGAAAAGCTTTCTGGCTCCTGGTGACCCATTGTGTGTTAACAAGTGGACTTGCCCTGTCAACCATCGTCCTAGCAACAGGGTTTGAACTTCTAACCACTTGTTCCATCCAATGTTTAGCATTTGGAGAATAATCCTAACGCCAACCTGTTACGAGGATTGGATCTATTTTGAAACGAATGGCTTTTGCTATTATTTCCAGGTAAAACAATGGCTTTCTCGCTACAAAAAAAATCTTTTAGAATTTCACTGATCCAGCTGTCGAAAACTCTGAAATGTTCAATTTTTCGGAGGCCGAGAGAGATTGTAAACGAATGGGAGGCCATCTTGTCTCCATACACTCCCCAGAAGAGCTTAATTTTCTCAAGAGTTTGTTTCATTGAAGGGAAAACCTGGTACACTAGGTGTCATAAAACCGTGAAAAAGATTTTTTTCTATGAACATTTCATCTAATTTGGAAGAGAAAACTTAACGACAGTTTCTTCATTCACTGTAAACTACCATACTTGGAGTTTCTCACTGTTCACACCTCTGTAATTAGTTTTGCAGAAATGTTAACTCTACTTATTAACTAATTTTACTCAACCGGGGGCTTCGGATGTGGTTTATTCGGCATGATGATTATAATTCGACAGACACAGTACTTGGCTATATCTTAGCTTAGCCGACGCCTACATAATCCCTACTCTCATTGAACGATCCCTGGATAGCTTGTTCTGGAGATGAAGAGAAGGCGAAGACGGCTGGATAGGCTTCTTACATTAAAGATCTGGGTCATGAGCCAGCCCACCGAGGAGCGGGATCAAACCCGAGTCTCTAATTCCAAAGATAGCCACACTGGCATTGCGTCACCCCGGCACGACACCAGCGTGGCCCAAACATAAGCCCAAACCTCTGAAGCTCTGCCATTTAGACTTGACCCTAACCAATTCGATTGGCTCCGGTTTGGTGATGAACGCGGAGGGGCTGTGCTTAAAGAATCGCACGGTGTGGATGGGTTTGCATCAAGAGCATGGACAACGCTGGTAGGCCAGGGATACCATTCACAAAATATTAGTCACCGTTATTCGGTCATCAGGTATATAAGTCCTTTCTTGTTTAGGTTAAGTCCTAAGCTTTAAGATAACTGTTTTCCTGACTGGAGTCATTTAGTGACGTTTGTTTGAGTAGGCTCAAGCAAGCCTTTTTATTTTAGAGAAGCCTCAAATAAGCCGTCTGTAAAATAAGAAAAAAGACAAAGAAGAAGGCATAACCCATCAGTAAACCTTAATCCTCCCAAGAATTATAAATAAATCTCTGGGATAACGGATACTACTCAAATAACTGTTGCAGGTGGACAGATGGATCACCGGATAACTTCATTAGTGCGGATCCGCCAGAGTACATACATTGGACGGTAGAATGCGATTTCTGATTGACACTTTAATTTCGTCAATTAGTTTTGCGATGATGTTGCCAACCAGGAGCCCTTCCTACTCTATCGAATGGATCGAATGAATTCGATCGAGAAATTCGCGACGAGCCGATATATTTGTAAGAGACGATCGAGTGTTTGGCCGCTTCGTCTGTCATGAGAAAAATAAATCTTGACTTGTATCGAAAGAATTTCAAATAATTAAATAATAAATAAATTAATAAATAATTTGGACTTTTCTTTATCTTTCGCTATAACATTTTGAAAAGATGTAAATCGTGAAAAAACTGATTAGGCAAATATTTCTTAACACATTCACGACGAGGCCGTTTTTCACCAAACTGCCGTCTGAAATGAGAGTCGTAAAAGAGACAGGACGTCTGCGCCATGTTACCCAGTTAAAAGGCATGTTAAAAGGGACAAAATCTTGATAAGGGGACATTGTTAAGAAATCTAACACCGGATTTGGATCCCCCACTATCGATTTGGTCATCTCACAAAGGTCGATCTGACGACTCAGGCTAAAAAATCGAGGAACCCACCATATGGGTCCCTCGATTCGAGTGCCTTGGTCGTAATTGTGTCAAGTGTGATTGTAAAGTGCTAGCAGAAAACTTACTTTACTTGCTTACTTACTTACTTACGTACTTTCCTTCACTTTCCTGTAGAATTGGGGTCTTATTGTAAATGGGATGGTCATTTAGCAAATTGAAACCAAAAAGTCGAGAGTACAAGAAAATTGTAGAGCTATTGTGGGGAATGTTAAAGAAAGTCCTATTCAATGAACAGTAACAAACTTAAAGCCACAAATTCCAACCAGCCATAGTTATCGTAAAAAGAAAAATCTTTAAAGGTTTGGAAGTCGAATTATCTTCTGGAGGCGATGGTGTTTTGTCAGTGGTGATAGTGGTGATAGTGTCTAGTGATGCTGTAATCAACGGTTTTCTTGCATCAGTGCATTGCTAGACTACTATGAAGTAATAACTTTTTTGATTTGCATATTTTTTCTGTTGTCTATTAGTGACGATTCAGTGAACTTTAACATCAAGGAAGAAAATATTTATGAGATACGTCATCACTGGTAGTACAGGATGATTCTGCTACGTCATTCGATTTTAATATCTTGTTAATTGCCGTGTTTTGGTAAGGAATTTCAGAAGAACAGCTAGTTTTGTTTCTTGAAAATTCCCGACTCGCTACTTTTTTTGAACAAGGACAGCTCGTTCCATTGGACTCCAATATTCAGTTTTTAATGGCATATAATATTTCGGCATATAATAATATGATTGCTCAGAGAATGTTCATCAAATTAGAATTGCTCAGAGAATTGAATCTAAGTTCTAAGTGTAAAATTTTACTCCCACAGTGCACTTGTTGTGCCTCCACTCCCTAATCACTGACCACTTGCTGCCCAGAGCTATACAATAGACTTTATAGCTCAAGGGTTCTCCTACTATTTTTAAAATGAACCCCAAGCAATGCTATGAGAAAAAGCTTTCAAAAGTTTATACAAGATCAGTTCCTATAGAAAATTAGAACATGCTCATGGTTGTTTCCAAATCATGTACATGCGATCGGGGTCGAGACTAAATTCATAATAAAATTAGTCCCATCAGAGAAATCCAACCTTGACAATCAAAGTTGTTTCCGACTGGCTGGCCATTAAAGTTCCAGACACCATTCGAATCGCACGTCACCTGACCGGTTACCACAATCAGTGACGTGGGGTTGATGTCATCCTTTTCATCCAACTGAACATCATTTGGCGTTGACTTTTAGTGGTAATGAATGAACGTTATTAATCTCGACTTTTATGATTAGAATGACTACGTTAAAACAGCTTCTCTAAGTAGCTATAAATAACACTTCTATGGTTTATCTAGCTAAACAAACCAAAACTCCCCCGTCCGACCCATCCGGAGCAGAAAGAGTAACTCCATCCATGTGGACCGTGTTGTATCCCAAGCAGGTCAATGTGGCAACCTAAAATTACTAAAATCACGAGGTAAAAAATAAGCAAACCCATAATGCATAGAATTTTGATAATACTTTCCTTAGAGCTTTTAGGAGCACCTACTATTGTACTGATCTTTACAATTTTTTTCGAAACCTCTTTTAAAAACAATACCGCCACGAACAAAATTTCTATTTGAACTATTAAAAAGCTTAATTGTTTCTCTGCAAAATGGCTTTTGAGAAATTTTTGGAAACAGCTGTTTTTGTGGCTTTTCAAAGGCGCAAAGGCGAGCACCCGAAACTGCTCCGATGCCAAAGCTCCGTTACCAATCTGGACCCTTTCTTCAATACAAACCTATTTTGATACCATAGTAAAAAATATAGAGCTTATTTGATTACATAAGTCTGTAAAATTTGATAACAATCTGTTCAGCCATTTTCTTTAAAACAGCAATTGAATATTTTACACAAAAATGCGTTTTTATCGAGTTGAGGCGAGCTTTTAGTTTTCTTTCAAAAGCCATTTTGTAGAGAAAGGATAGACTTTTTAATAGTTTAAGACGCAACAAATTTATTAAAGAATTCTTTTCAATGGAAATAAAAATTTGAAAAAAATTGTAATGACTTATGCACTAACCTAATATTTCTCAAATGTTTGATCAAAGTTAAAAGCACTTTTATGAACGAAATTGGAAAGCTCCATTTTCTCATAAAACATTTCTTCTACATATTTTCACATTTGTGGCTCGAAGGAGGAAATACTTGCTTTAATCATTACTATTAATCATTACCATTACCACAATGGTCTTTAATCATTACCATTGTGTGATAAAAAAGCCAGAAAAACCAATACCCACCCGACATCCAGCACTGTTTGTACTATATGAGATTAATGGATCCCTATAGTTGAATGGGGCTCCATTACAACCGTTTTGATTTGCCACGCAATCACCGGCTGGCAATGCCGTGCATGTTGTGCAAGTTGGCTGAAACTTTTCTTTTTAAATCTCATTTCATGGCTCATTACCGGTGTTGGTGTGGTGGTTGGAGTGGTCGTAGTTGTTGTGGTGCTTACCGGGGTCCACACTAAATCCATAGGTTTCGTGGCCGTTTATCTGAGCTTATTTCTAGACATTTCTAGAGACTAGACATTTCTAGACATTTCTAGACATTTCTAGACACTATGCCAATTAGAATTTTTTGTATAAATACAGCAAATCGTGTTTTTTACCCTCAAGATGTAGCCCGATCAAAATTCTGATGGTTCGGGCCCGACTACCCCTCCACAAATTCTAATGGTTAGGGCAAAAACTTGGCAACAGACACATAGACAGACAACTTTTCAAAATTTTAATATTGTAAATTCATAAGGTTTTTCGAGAATCCAGTATATTGAACCTTGACAATCAAACTCGTTGCCGACTGGTTGACCGCCCAAGGTCCAAGTGCCAGTTGCATCGCATGCCAACGTACTGCTCACCACAAGAAGTGTGGAAGGATCGGCGCTATCTGCCGCATTTATCTAAAGGGGAGAAAGTATTAAGAAAGCGGGCGGAAACCAACCAAAACTCCCCCATCTGACCCATCTGGAAAAGCCGGGGTGACACCATCAATATAGAGATTGTCGTATCCCTGGCAAGTCAGCGTGACAGTCTTAAATTAATACATGTTCGAAAAGTCAAAAATCGAATCCTACCCGGCAGCCACCACTTGTACTATAAGTAATTTGTGGATCTTCGTAATAGAAAGGAGCTCCACCACACATTTCCTGATTTGTCACACAATTTCCAGCAGGCATCGCCGTGCATGTCGTACAGTCAGCTGCTCTTGTCCTAGAATTAACGATATATATGATTAAAAACTTCATTGGTTCTTTGGTTTAAAAGAAAGACAATAGCAAAAGAAATTAGCTGACTTCAAGCTCGACCCTAAACTGCGCAGATTGTTTCAAGTTTTATTTAAGTTCAGGTATTATATTAAGTACACCGGAAAATAACTGTGTTTTTTTGATATCAATTATTTCGATCTTTATTTCTGAGTTTTTTTCACTACGGATTCCTTTAGAAGTTTTATACAAAAAATTGTTTATAGCTTTTCTTTGTAAGACCGTAAAAATTTAGTCTATCTAAACAATGTTTAATTTTAGGTGCTTGACATAAGGAGAATGAACTAACGACAAATTCGGACGCTTTTTTTGTTGAGTTTACGCTTGGACACAACGCAACGGTTGCGGCCGAAAACATCAATTGTGCATTTGGTCCTGATGCTACTTCCGTTAGGACCGCTCAAGTTTGGTTCAAACGATTCCGGGAAGAAGACGAGGATCTTGATGACAAGAAGGGTCGCACAAGGCTTCTGTGGATGATTTAAGACAAGTTTTCGAAGCAAATCTGCGAACTACTGAGCCAGAATTAGCAAAACACTTTAATCTAGGGATTTCGACCATAAGTGATCATTTGAAAGATATTGGAACGGTTAAAAAACTGGAGAAGTGGATACCTCATCCATTGGACGACCGCCAGAATTTTACACGCTTTCTTGCTGATTCTTCGTGGAAATCTCGGAACAATAGAGATCCATTTTTAACCGTGTGATCACGTACAATGTTATATGATATCAAAAATGAAATTCGGAGTGGCTACACAAAGGAGAAGCACCTCATTTGTACCCGAAACCCGATCTTTATCCAAAGAAGATGATGCTCTCTGTTTGGTGGTAAAAAAGCGTGATTCATTTTACTTTGCTCAAAACCGGAGAATGTATAAATTGGACACTTACTGAATAAATTGAAGAAATGCATTCAAAATTGAAAAATTTGAGCTCGTCTTTGGTCAATTGAACGGGTCGTATTTCTGCTGCAGGACAATGTTCGCCCACACGTGCCTTTGAAGACCCTCAATTGCTTGCAAAGTTTGGAGATCGATGTTCTTCCTCATCCGATATTTACCTAATCTTTCTCCAACAGATTATCATTTTTTCAAGCATCTCAATCGTTACGTCGTAGACAAAATTTTCAAGAACGAAACGGAGGTGAAAAATGCTATCGAAGATCATCGCCTCTAGACAGCCCGACCTTTTTGCCGCAGGGATCGAGAAACTGGCCACTCGTTGGCAAAAGTGTATTGATTCTAACGATTGTTATTTTGATTAATTTGATTGTTCTTTAATCAAAAATCTTGCAATTGAAAATCACTAAGAAAAGTAATTTTCCGGCGTGCCTAACACAATACATAGTGTTGTGGTAGTTATAAAAAACTTAGGATAGCTAGTATTTGTAAACAAGCAAAGACAAAACCTACAAAACCTACAAATTTACAAAACCAAAACCTACAAAAGTTTGTTGTCTTTGATCACTTTAGACTTACAGGTCGACAAATCCAAAAACGAGGCAGAGAAATTGGAAGATTTTTAGGGGAGTCATGGTTGTGAATCTTTTCTTTTGAGACTCAATGGACATGCCTTTGCTTTTTCCCCTTTTATATGGGTTAACTGATGTTCTTTTTGTAAGATTATGGAGATTTATAACAGCAAAGGTCATTTCTGATGTTCTTTTTTTGTAAAACACAAATTCGAATAGAGAGAAATGGTTCGATAGGATTATGGAAATTTTAAGATCTCAAATCATCTCTGGTGTTCTCTTCCTTTGAGCGCGAACGGAAAAGGATTCTCCATGATTTTAAGGACATAGATCGTTTTTTTTCTGGAATCTCCATATTAAGCTTTCCAATCGTTCAGCATCATTGTTGATCATGAGTTTAGAAACCGATTTTTTTTGCAACCTTTTTTCAATAGTTTTTAAAAAATCTTGATAAGTTGTACTAGGAAATGAATGAAATCTATTAAACTTAAAGAGTTTTAAGAAATTTTTGCATGCACACTATTTAACCGTTTTCTCTTTTGCAAGTTATTATCCATCTACTTACAATATAAAGAATGTTTTACTTGCAACAAACAACTGATTAGCAAAAACACTCTTTTTTCAAAGCAAGCACATGTTAAAGGACAAACTCGGAATTTGCTTAAATGGAGATAAGCAATTGACTAGAGCGTCACTAAATGAATTCCATATTTGCTTGCGACACCGATATCGTAGCAGTATATCCTGATTTGGACTCGATTGGGCGGCTGGAAAAATAAACAAGCTTTGTGAAAAGTGAAAAAAAGTCCTGTCTGTCGGATCAAGGCATCCTGGAAATTACACACAAACCCCACCGCAAAATACCAAAATAAAAACGATTACAAGACCCACGCAGCCTCTAAGCAATATCGATTATGTAGATGGCTTTTGTAGAGTAAGATGAAACATTCTTTGTCTGCTTGTGATCAAAAAATTTTTAAAAATCAAATGGTTTGTACATTTATTCAAAGGCATGGAAAAAAAATTTTATTTAAAAGCCACAGTATGGATAGTAGACTCCTCCATACGTGTATCCGCCGTGACAATTGAACGTCTGACCGCTAGTGCCCGTGTAGGTTTGAGTGTTGCTGAAAGATGACGATGTAACTTCATATAATACGTTGTTTTATGAAGAAATTAAGAACTTAATTATGTCAGACTCACGCCGAATTATAATAGTACTGTCCGTTGTTGTTGTAGCCATTGGTGGGGGCTGAGAAAGTGGCCCCATTTCGATAATAGGGATAGGTGTAGGAGGCTCCGTTGTACGTATATGTGGCACGTCTCGCTCGGCTCAGTCTGGAAACAGCGTCATCTCAAATGTCAAATGTCTCTAATGCCAAATGTTTCAAACGTCATCTCAAACAAGGCAAAGCCCTGGATGAGCTACACTGATTTGATCCGGCTCGGTTTAGCCTAGTCTAGCTTTCTTGAGTCGATTTAGATATTTTCATATATTGGTACAGATATTGGTACAAACTAAACGCTATAATGAGTAATTCATAATTCATTCAATAATTCATGATAGGTTTTTCAAACTTTTAGGGTAACTATATCACTGTAAATAAGGATTGATTTAGATTTAGCTTGTCGAAAGTTTATCAAATCCAATACCATAGCAATATCTTATCAGAGTTGAGCCCTGAAAATCACGTTCGATCATCAGGTGAATTACGATACGGATTATAATGCTGATACAGCTTTAATCTGGTATATTTTTACCTATACCAGCTTGAAGTTCAGAATCGCTTCGTAACCGAATGTTTTATGCACTCTTTTACAACTTCTAACGGTTTTCATAAAGCTTGCAATTCTCAAAATAGCTCATTGATTTCAACGTCGACTTATGAACTTCAAAATGCAAGGATATGGTTCTTTATTGATTCTCATATAGTAACATTGCAAAGCTTTGCGTTTTTTGCACAAAAGCAAAATACTTTGTTGTACAAAGAACACTGCTTTTATTGCCATAGATAATAAAGTCATGAACCAATGGTGCCAGAGATCGAAAAATGTATATGAACTCCATAATGACTCTATAAACAAATTTCATCCATCCAGAAGTTGCAAAAGGGTGCATAAAACATAAATATTTAATCACAAAGACATCAGGAAAAAAATTGGTCAAGAGGAGAATCGAACCCAAGCCAAAAAAGATTCATAGGTTCGGCAGACTAGCACACTATCCGCTAGACCACAGAATCAGTTGTAAAGTTTCTTTTTGGAATGAAGAGTCCGAAATTTAAGGAAGTTTTCTACGCCTGATTCCTTGCGATTTCGTGGATGTTTGCAACTAATTTTTACAGATTCAGATAGCCGATTCTATAAGATGTCACGAGCCGAATTTTTGAACTTTTGACTCTGAACTTCTAGCTGGTGTTATTCTCTTGTAAGCCTGATATTGGTATTGTTTTGTATCTTTAAAGTATTGATAGGATGACTTCTAGTCATGTCCTAAAACCAGAACAAGACTCTGCTTGTTCAACTGAACCTAATTCTAGCTTTAGTTTTTTGTGGCTTGAAAGAACGGTGCAAAGTCCAGCTTAAACTTTGGGGGAGGGGCAAGAAATTCTCACTTGGGTTAAGTTAAAGCCAGATAAGGACCCATTGTTTTTTAAAGTTAGAGCAAATCGAGAAGGACCAGGGTATTGCAAGACGATCTAGTTTAGTATTACCTTATAGGCTTTCTAGGTTTTTTTCAAAATCCATCGAGAACTTACCCAGCTTGTCCAAAGTCATATTGAGCGGAGACAGTTGTCGAAACGAGCAGGAGAAGGGTCAACGAGGTAGTCAATTTTTGCATTTTCGACAAGTTATTGAATATGTTCTATTCCAGATTTCGGAGTTCTTATATAGTCCCATTTCTTGAAAAAATTCCCAAGGAAAAGTTTAGTTTATTTGAAGAAAAATCTGCGTTTCAATAAGAGCTAGAAACTTTTCCTCGAAATCAAATGAAACTTGAGATTTTCTCATGTTTCCGTGTTTGTCCAAACAACATTTCTCCCTCTCTCAACTAGGCGCTCTCTTGGTTTCATTTGGTCACATCTATTTGCCCGAAAATGGTCAGAATAGTGGGAAATAAATGGCCAAGAAATGGACACTTTTGCATCATCACCCACTTGGAAACATCAGAGTCAAACTAGAAAATGAAGTACCTACTTGAATAGTACCTACTTGAATTTTGGAGTTTCGCGTTTATTTTTTACATGAACTTCCAGGATCATACCTGAATGAAACTTGAAGACTCGAAAACCCAAGTATTCTGCCAAAAAAAGGTAGCAGTCAAAACGGAATGAGTATCCAGAATTTTGCAACTTTCCGCAGAAAAAAATTCACTTTATAATGTATGATTGTTTTGTTTGATTACGTAATGGTATTCCTGTGATTTTAGGTAGAAATCTTATTCCTACTAAAGGAAACAAGTCAAAAAGCCTGGTGATTTTCACTGAAATTAGTGCTGATCGAAACGAAAGAGGAAAAATTTAACGGAAATGACATCTTTAGTGGGAATTCTTATTAGAATTTCGTTCTAAAGATCTAATGAAAGAATTAGAGCTTAATGTCTTCTTATTTGTCTCTCCAATTCTTATTGTCTCTCCGATTGGCTTTGTTTTCAGGGGACAATTCATGTGGAACCCATTGACCACAACGATTCCTTTTTCCAATAAGCGCAAGGTGTCGAGAAATTGTGCCCGAATCACATTTAAAGTATTCGGCGAATTCGGGCAAAGTTTGAGTTGGATCCCACTCGACAATCTCCAGCAACTCCGCATTATCGAAGACAACTGGACAATATCCATGAGGCTCGTCTTCCAAGCTGTCATCCCCTTCACGAAAACGTCGAAACCATTCCTGGCAAGTCCTTTCACTCAAAATGTTTTCTCCGAATGCTTCACAAAGATTCCGGTGCGACTTCGATGCTGATTTCTTCATTTTGAAGTCATAGAGAAAACACGCCCGCCACACGAGTTTTTGATCCGTCATCTTGGACCTAAGATTATGTAATATTTAATGATAGCAATCGTTGTGAAAATAATTAAAATGAATAAGCAATCATAATACAATATAATACAATTTAAACCGGACCATCACAGTATCAAATAAAAAAAACTTTGGTCCTCGGAAGTAATCCGCCGTTTCTTTTGCAAGTACCTAATAACACTTGGTACTTTGGATTCAATTAGGCCTTTGACAACTACATTACCAAAAGGGTGCGCCCATTTTTTTTATCCCCCTGTATCTGCTCTTCTGTTGTGTTTTGTTCTTCTATTAGAATAAAAACTGTAAATATTGACAATCTTTAGTATTCAAATTTAGAAACAAGCATCGGTTTTGATTTTCGAGATCGTGGAAAGAATTGGCTGATTCAAATGATTTGAAGCAAATGTTGCAAATAGAAGCAATGTTGATCGTGATAAGCTGAATATCGACGATTTTTGGTTCCAAAACTAGTTATCGGTGAGTACTTTGAGGAGCTAAAAGCTTTGCTATCTTGGTGTTGAAGTTGTAGAGATAAATAGTAGTTGCAATGTAACTAGCCAAACATTTTGGAGAGGTAAACCCTTAACTTCTGCCTATTTTGCCCGTTGTCTCTGCCTTGTCTTGGTTATTTACTATTAGTCAATTTGAATTGGATGAGCCGTTTTGCTTTTGTTAACTGAATAGGTTGAAATTATCAATAAATTTAGCTACGATCAAATACATAAATGAATACAAATGAATAGATGGGTTTCTTTTGAAGAAAGTGCTCAAACTGGGACATCTCCAGTCCTCCATTTTTGAGTCTCACACTTGTCTCACAACAAATCAAAACCCTACTACGAAAGAGGAATCCGCAAATGGCCTGTAAAATGGGCAGAAGTCGTCAATAATAATGGAAATTATTTCGAATGAATATATGGTTTTATGTTGAATAAATTTTAGTTCAAAGTCCGGCAGTTTTCAATTCACCAACCCAATAGATAGATAAATGAAAAGATTGGCATAAGTACATAAGAAATATCAATTCGACAGAGATAAAGGTGATTCTACAATTTCTTTACATTTCTCATAGTCTAGCTTTAGAAAATGGTTAAAGATAAGTGTGATTTCTTGAGGAATTGCTGACAAATGAATGAGATGATTCTGAAATTGATATCTAAACTCTATTATTGCTATCATTCAACCTTGACCCATTCGCGGAGCCGAAGCAAAGCGTCGGCTAGTGTTGGGTCCAATTTGATTCGAATTCTGAAAACAATTTGATCATCTTCAAGCAAAATAAACGAAAATTGAATGAATTTAGTGGAAAGAATTGTTGAGAATTTGTAAGCTTTTTGTTAAATTTAGAAAGCTTAGGACTGTATCATGTTCTCCGGCAATTCAAAAGTCTCAATTTGTCAAGTCTATTAATCCAGTTCTCCGCAGTACTTAAATCTAGAATCAAAGTCTTTTCATCAATCTCGTTAATCATCTCCAATCAAAATAAACTGCGTTTGAATAAACGACATTCGAAGATTAACTTTTTATATTAAGTATTTAAGTTTTAAACGTTTATTGCTTGAATTTAATCAATAAACTTACGTGTCGCCAATCAAAACTTCTCCATTTTCACTTTTCTTCACAAGCCCAGTCGCAAAGAGAATCAATTGAACCGGTGAAATTGTCGAGATTTCTTGGCAGTAAACGTTTTTATTGCTTTGGGTCTGAAAGAGTTGAATTTCATTTGTTTTAAGCTTTTACTTTTTCGTTGAAAAAGCAAATTCGATTCGCTGCTTGATTGTTCGTGTGAGCGGCAGAAACCGAGTCGATCGCGGGACAGTCTTGAGTGATTGTTATCATCGTTTTCTAAAAAAATATCGTTCCAATTTCTATTTAGATATTTATTTTAATTCAAAATTTTAGAAATCTAAACGATTTAATTTTAAAATTTTTGAGAAATGTACCGATCCTTTATCAATGACTCCGGTATTCGGGTAAAAAGCTCGAGAGAGGATGCCCAGGGACAGCGAAGGATTCTCCTGAAAATTGTATAAAATTTTGGTTAGCTGGCATTTGATTCGCGAGTTGTCCAGTGTCGAGCTGTCCAATTTGAATATCCTTGATATCATTGGATGCGTCAAGTCTTTCTCTGTCGATTGGTACAAAAACTATTTAAATTGGAGAGCCCAACACCAAGATATTTGAGTTCAAAGTTGGATTGCCAATGGCAAAGGAGCAGCGTGCGAAGGTCCGTCATCCCGCCCCTTTTGCCATCGGCAACCTAACTTTAAGCTCAAATATCTTGGTGTTGGGCCATCCAATTTAAATAGTTTTTGTACCAATCGACAGAGAAAGACTTGGCGCATCCAATGATATCAAGAATGTTTAAATTGAACAGCTCGACACCAAGAAATTTGAGTTCAAAGTTGGATTGGCAATGGCAAAGGGGGCGAGGCGCGTATCAAATGTCTCACAATTTAAAATTTTATCCCAAGTAAAAAGCTAAATTTTTGTAGAAAGGCACTGGATTACTCCCACGAGAATCTACAGTTGTAAATTGTAATTTCGTTTACAACTTTCCTAGACTTGTCAACTCCGAAAAGTATTTTGAAACGATTCAGATTTGCCAGCTTTATGAAAAGGCCAAAGAGACCAAAGAGACCAAAGAATAATTTCTAAAATCTTTAAAAATACCGTACTACCTTCTTTTTCTTCCCCGGATTCTTGCCGAAGTGACGCTCTAAGATTTGAAGTAGTTGCAAGTTCGATCGCCTTAAAAATGGTTAAATTGTCCTCGAACTTGAGCACAAAAGTTCTGACTATGAGCGAATTTTATATGAAAAGCATTGAATTGCTCAATTGCATAGATCAACCAAATAAACCTTAATCAAAAACATCAATAACGGTGCTCCAGCTGAACAAAGAATTACCGTCAATACTGTAATACTACCCCGCTCAAATAATGACGGTGAGAAGTGTTGCATAGTCTAACTTTGAACACGTTTTTCTCAATACTGGTTTATGCTACAATGCTCGCTTAGGTATCAAAAAATAGCTGAAATTCAGGGTTATTTGTTAATACCAAAGACGCATTTTTTGAAAGTGCGGGCGCTTTGAAAAAAATGAAATACTAAAAAACTTTTGCCACTACGCGACTGTACGTGAAAGGTGGGGTACTATTACAGTATTTACGGTAGCAGAGTTAGATTTAAGATATACAGCAGTATTTACTTCTCTCCCCAAGACGTTACCTTGCTTCCCACATCGCACCACCATCTAAAGAATACTTCTTCAGAAAAGCTCTCTGTTCCGCTTCGTTAAGTAGCTGGAAATTGGCAATCTCATAATATTACTAGCAATTTGGTGTCTTGCAATGTTATAATTTAATGCAAAAGTCAGTAACTATTGTCCAAGTACAACAAAAATCAACCGCAAATTTCTCAGCCACTAATTTCATCACTTCATGATCCGATGGCGTTGGGATCTTCTTTTTGTAGCTGCTGAAACAAATTTTTTTAGCTTTCTCAGCTAGCAAACTTTTTCAGCTCCTTGATTTTCTCGGAAGCCTTCCATTCCAAAATTAAATTCCATGGAGCATTTTGAGTGTTACAAATGAGCTTGATAACATGATCGTGAACACTAAAGAGGTTGCTATGAAAATAGGATTATGTTAAACAACCCAAATAAGCGGCTAAGAATGAGCGCTGATCCAAGATCGACTTCGAGTGGAATTTCAGCCAGAAGCCGGCCAAGAGCCGTCAACCGATCGTGCACATCGAGAGCTCCGATCTCTGGAAATTGGTAGATTACTGGAGTTTCAGAATCGGCTTGAAATCGAGGTCATAACCAAAATCAAAACTTGACGGTGAATTAGAAAGATTGTGTCTTGATCACAGCTCTCAGCTTTAATATAGCTATAGTTACAGTTTTATTAAATAGTTCTATGCATTTTACCTTCTCTGTTAAACATAAAAGAGCTGTAACCATGGTTGTATTAAGGGGAACAGTTCAGAAAATGCCAGGAAAGGCTAAGCTAGACCAGGGCTAAGCCAGAAGCCTAGATTAGCTAAAAACCAGGGGTGGATTTTAACCATGATCTGAGCTTGCCTTATCTTGCTTGCAGTTCCCCGAAAAATCTTTGGTTTAAAGCAAAGTTCATAGTTCATAGTTTTTACCTTGTAGCTTACACCTTGCTTCTACGATTCGCAAGCTTGATGGCGGATATGGGGCTCTTCCCAGAAAATCTTCTACATCTCCGAGTTTCAGTGCCTAAAATTGTAAAATATTGTTTTCGCTGATGCTCTTTGTATACCTTGATTGTCAAGTAGACATTGTAGAGAGTTGTATTCCGTAGAGCTGATTCGTTGAATTCGTGGTAACTAGAAAAAGGACATTTAAAAAGGAAGTAACAGTTTACCGTAACAGCTGTAATAGTAACCCCCAACAAAAAAATAGTGACCCTCCTCTAATAATAGTTTCTCAAATTTGCATCTCGATCCTTCAAAAAGCTGTGGTGTTAGAAGCGATCCAAATGCCGTGCCGAGGTGCCGACGATCAGCTGATTCGCTGTTTTAAGCCCGATGGCCCGATTCCTACAGCACTATAGTGACTCAGGGATGCAAGTGTCGAAAAAGAAGTCGATGAGTTTCTGGATCCACTTACTTCAGCAAACCTTCTCAATTTTCGTTACGAAACGAAATATGTGAGGAAGAATTTAGAGCTGATATATCAGTTTATCTAAATTTTTAAATCTCTGGTTTTTTTTCTTAATTTTTCTTAGATTTTACTTGTTTTGGTCAATAAATAAATTGAAAACTGTTTCTTTAATTAGTTTATATTTTTCAGTTTTGGTCATGTGAATGGCAAAAAGTAGTGTCGAAAAAATAATGACCCCTACATCCGCGCAAAATAAGGCAAAAAAACGTTCTTTATCAGAATTTCACGTTAGAGTATCCATTCGACTCTTGAGTTCGATTCTGTTTGAGCAAGTTGTGCTCAATCGAATGGGGAAGAAATTATCGAAATCCGTCGCAAAACGTCATTTTCAACTTAAAAAGGCATCAAGTGTTCGCAGGGTTGAGCAATTTTTATTTTTTTCGTATCAAAATGATCTTTATAAACGTCCACACAAAAGTTATCGGTTTTGAGGACGCAATCTTTCGACCACGGTGAAAACGAGCCGCCGAAAGTTGGTCGCTGCGAGCGAGTTGCTTGTAAAAGTGCGATTTTTTCGATAAAACGAGATTTTTAAAAATCGAATCAGACGGATTTCGATAATTTCTTCACCATTCGATTCAGCACAACTTTCTGCGTCGAATGGATACTCTAACGTGAAATTCTGATAGAGAACAGAGATGTGCCCCCCCCCCCCTTCTAATAGTGCCTCGCCCCCTAGAGGCTCAGCGAAAAAGTAATGCCCCCGGGGGCTACTATTGCAGCTTTTACGGTATCTTAAGCCTCTAAAGTAATACCTGTCATATTTCTCCTTTGGAACCATTAAGTAGTACTTTCCTTCTTGACAACGCCCAGCACGGCCCCTTCTAAAATAAAACTTGATGTGACAGATTTTAATTCAAGTTCAAGACCTAATATCCTTATGAGATTAAAACTTTACTACCTTTGCAAGCAATTTGCTCGTGAGGCGTTGATTGTACAAAAGTAGTTGGTGTTCGTTTCGGGAGAGAAGCGAACCACTCGAGCCCTGAATAATAATGACCGTATGCTTCAAGAAAATAATGGCTAATCTATGTTAAGTCTTCGGAACTGCTTGTAATAATCAAAAAAAAACTGTTCGGATTGTAATAATCAAAAAGAAACACATCCTATGACTGGCTCAGCTTTTTGCAAAAAAAAACCTAGGACTTGGAATTGATGAACAAAATTTTGCACATCATAAAAGAATTTGTTGATATTTTTTTACCCAAAGCTCAACCTCGCAAACAAATCTTTTCGACTTACAATCCAGAGTCGATCACAAAAACGACATCCTCAATCGTGACACTGCTTTCAGCAAGATTTGTAGAAAGAATGATCTAATTTGATTTAAAGCGTGACACCTGTGATACTTGTTTCTTTACCTTTCGTTTTCCCTCGTCTTTTGCAAAGACCAGTTTCTGTTGCCGCTTTGGAAGTTTAGAGTGAAGACACAATAATTTGATGGCTTCTTCTAAAAATTGGACTTGATTGAAATTTTGCTGATAGAGCTTACGATCAAGAGCACTGGAAACGCTGAGCAATTTGAAAAGGCGTTTGATCTCTCCCCAGCCAGGCAAGAAAACGAGAATCGCACCTTCACCCTCGTTTCCGTCAATGTACTCGATGAGTTTCTAAAAGTTCTATGTACAAATTTCATAGATTTTAAGTAATCGTGAGTCTGATCATACTTTCATTCCCTAAATCCACTTGTTCTTTCGTTTACCGTTAAGCTTCCGGTATGATATTTAGAATCAAAGTTCATAGATAAATCCATACATAAACCATGCAATACAATGTTAACTAACACTTTCAAGTAATGAATGTCAAGTTACGTTTAGATATCAAGGTACAGGGTGCGTCAAAATTACTCATACTAGCGCGCGACTAAAATAAGTAGAGATTTCTTTCGATTTTGTTTATCTACTCCCAGTTTTTCATTGTTTTTTATCATTTACAAATATAAAATAATGTTTTTTTCTGTTTCAGGTAATCGATTTGTTGGGTTGGTGAAGCCGTCGATCCACCGTCAATCGATCATCGATCTTCATCAGTCTCGGCGCGTTCAATCCAGAATCGCCTAGGAGCAAGTCGAGCTACCATCTATCAAATAATAGCATGGTTTAAAGCATTGGGAAACAACAGGGATCGATTGGGCCGTGGACGGAAGAGATCTGTGATCACCTATATATATATTCAACCTGAACTGGACAACACATAGTGCAAAGAGCTGACAATGAAATAGATGAGTGTCTTGATGTTTGTGAATTATTTTTACCTGGATCAAATCAAACGGCAACCTCTCATCGATTTTGTGCTCCAAACTGAGAGCCGCCTAAAGAGTATTTGGTGCATTCAGTTTAATGCAAGCTTACCATGTCTTCATTCAGTTCAGGTAGAGTATCGAATTTCGCTTCTAATTGAGAATCGTTGCTAGGAGAATGCTCTTTCTAAAAATTGATTTGGATTTAGTTTTGTTTCAGCTTATCAGCTTTAAAAAAAGAAAGAAACCTGTGGATCACTGTTCTCGTTTTTGGCAGCTGCAAGAATTCGTTTCACATCACTCAAATAGAAATCTGACATTTTGAATGCTTACTGAATCTGAAAACCGTTTAAATAAACCTTCCATTGGGTAAGCCGTTTTTCCCTGAAGCCGAAAGAATCCAGAATTCGGGAAGTACTCCTAAAAGCTTACTTTAGAGAAAAAAAACCTTTGGAACACTGTTATCATTTTCAATTTGATAGCTTTGATGGCATTTTCAAGGAATTTGAACCTGCAAAGAAGCGATATTGATGGTAGCACTCATGATAATAATCTTCAAAGCTCGAAACTTTTGTGCCAAATCTTTTGCAAGAGTCAGAAGGATTTCGATCTGAAACAGAGATTGGATTGAATCATTAGGAGATTGAATTCGTTTAAGCATTTGGTCAACATTTCTACAATTTTCAACCATTTGCCCCTTACATCTTTCTCCATCTCATGCGCCTCATCAATGAACAAATGGCTGACTCCATGGAGTCCCGATCGCATTTTCCGCAAGAGATATCCGGCCGTCACATAGCAAATTGATCCATAACCACGGGGTGGGTTGTTGTCAAATCTGAAATCAGCAAGAACCATTTCGATTTCATTTGTTTATTCACCTCATCGCAAATCCAACCGATCTGTTGGCGATCTTTTCTTCTCGATCCAGAGTCTCTCCTCTTTCTTGAGCAACTCGTTCTGCCAATGACTTGGCACAGATTCTAAATGCTTACAATATGGTACTTGCAATGAAATTGTGTATAACTAAAAGGTTTTGTAAAACATGTCAACCTTCCACCGTTTAGGTTTTAATTTTAGGTTTTAAATGAGACCCATTGCCATAACCCATTAAAAACTTGTACTCTTAACTTTATTTTTGTTTATTTCAAGTATTGGTCTATTCTACAAGAATACCAAAAATACTGGATATTAAGACATTAAGATAAAGACAAGATTACGATAGTTTATGGGAAGTTGACACATTATAGATAGACTAGATTGACTTTGCAAACAACCTCCTTGGTTGAGTGATGTAAGCGGCAAAGCTGGCACCTTTTTTCCGTGCGAGATGATTCTCCAGGAGGAATTGAGGAATCTACAAATCATACAATGAAGTCGTAAATAAAATTGAAAATAGCCAAATTGTAATTTAGATCTAGAGTGCAATGAGTAAGACCTGTGTCGATTTTCCACACCCTGTGCTTCCCTGTACCACCACAACTTGATACTTGGCGATGAGGTCGATTATCTAAATTTCTGGACTGTACATTGAACCAAAAAAAATTTGCACCTCCTTCTTCTTTTTATGAATTGGTAAGCTTTGTCGTCGTTTCCAGATCCTCTGCTGAACCATCTCTTCATATGTCAGTTCCTCCTTATTCTTCAGTTTTTCTTCAATTGCCATCCTCTTTTCAAGCGATTTGATGTGCTCTTGCATCAATATATGATTAGCTTTCTAAAAGTGAGTCTTGAGTTCGATTGATTTTTTGCATTTCAACTAGAAAAACGAATTAAATTCTTACTGGTGATGAAAAAGGTGGTGACCAAGTGATCGATTCAGGAATTTCATCGATAGTTGGGCGAGGAGTTGACGAGAGAGAAGCATGTGGAGAGTTCTATTAGGTTGGAAAGAAAGTTCTCGGAAAAAATTTGACTGGAATTTCTTAAAAACGAATTTGTTAATTCAAGAACATTTTCTTCTATTATTTACAAGTCGACTCCAAGAAGTTACTCGTAAAGAAATAAAGAAATGAGTGCAGCTTTTCCGTAAAATTTTAGAGATTTTTGAAAAATTATTGGATTGGTGAATTGAAAACTGCCGGCTATTGTCATAAGTCACAGTTTGAGCACTTTCTTCAAAAGAAACCCATTTTGGTGTCAGTGGAAAAGTTGTAGAGAATCAAAAATTAAGCTTTTATGCAAATTTTCAGAACGATTCAAAAACTGGTTTTCAAGATATGACAAATTTACGAATTTTCACAAAACTTGCGTTTTAAGCGAAACTACCGAGTGTATCTTTTGGAAATTTGGCTATAAGCCTAATTTTTGATTCTCTACAACTTTTCTATTGACACCAAAATGGGTTTCTTTTGAAGAAAGTGCTCAAACTGGGACATCTCCAGTCCTCGATTTTTGAGTCTCACACTTGTCTCACACACAAACCAAAATCCTACTACGAAAAAAAAATCCACAAATTGCCTGTAAAATGGGCAGAAGTCGTCAATAATAATGGAAATTATTTGGAATAAATTGATGGTTTTATGTTGAATAAATTTTAGTTCAAAGTCCGGCAGTTCTCAATTCACCAACCCAATATTATTTTCCAGCTTAAATTCAGCTCACTTTTTGCACCAGAAAAACGATTTCCTATGAGATAAAGCTAGCATAAATGAACAATACACTCTATAATCTCTATTTTTGACCAAAAATTTTTGACCGAGAAGCTGTATTTTAAAAAATAATTTTTTGAAATCATCTTCTTGGCACTGAGTGTTTTGCTAAAATAGGTGATTCTGAAAAGTTAAAGCATTAGATAAAACTTGCCATAATCACAAATTTTCCCTATTTTAAGTACTTCATTTTAGGTTTTAAATGAGACCCATTGCCTATTCATTAACCCATTAAAAACTTGTCTAAAGGCTGGTCACTCAAAAAGTGATCAAGTCACTTTAGCTGAAGAAATCTCTTATTTTTTACTTGAAGCCCACTCTGATTTTTTTGTCAGAAACTTTTTGAAATATAGTCAAGTTTATGAAAAAAACTGGGAAGAATTCATGGGTTGGTTTTTGAGAAATCACTGTGCAAAGTTTTGCTACGAACTTACTTTCCAACCTAATAGAATTTCGCACATAAAATTGCCAGGTAACACTTCAGTGATGTTTTTGCTTTCAGATAACGGACTACTGTTGTTTTAGAAGCCAAAGCAAAATTAAAACCAGATAAAGCTCTTCTTTGCGTTGATTAAATGCTTTGCTTACCTCTCCACGAACAGCCACAACTTCTTGTGCCAATTTCAACGCTTCAGGTGTTGATATGACTTTAAATTTGAACTCCTGGAACGATGTTACTTAAGAAGTGCGATTGCTTAAGCTTAAGCTTAAAACTTTAAATGCTGACTTTTCTTTTCGATTGCATCACTTCCTGTTGTTCCTCACAACTTTTGAGAAAACCAAAGTGATAGCATTGGCGGATGAGATTCAGCTGTAAAAATAATATTAATAAAAGATACAGTTGACACGATAAAAAACCAATAGAAAATGGATACCTTGCTTTGTTTGCTAATACTGTATTTGTTTTAATGTTTTTGAAATGTTTTAATCTGGTCTGTAAATCAAGTCAAGCTCGAGTTCTGGGACTTTTTTTGGGCTAGGCCTGGCACTGGCAAGCCCAGAGATCTTTTGTGGATCAGGCTTGCAGCAAAGCTAGGACAGGATCTGGCTTCTGATCTTTCTTAGAATTCAACTGGCCCGAGACCGTATGCTCCGTTCCAGAGGATTTCCGCAGGAATTCGCTGAGAGAGTATTCCCGCGGAACATACTTTTTTGTATAAAAGTATTGGATTGGTGGGTATGACATTTTCAAATGAAATTTTTATTCAGTTAACCATTTCAAATCATTCTAGATATTCGCCATTATTTTCTCTGATTTATGCCCATTTTAGTGGTAGAAGTCGAATGTCTCTTTCGTAAAAAATCCTCGATTTTGATTCAAACCAATCTGTCGTCCATTTTTTGACTTTCGGAATCAAGTGTTTATTTGCCAAATCATTGCTCATCGCCCAGAATAAATAGTAATCAGACGGTACAAGATTAGGGCTGTATGCCGGATGGGTCATCACCTCCCATCCAAGTGAGTTTAGTTTAGGACGAGTCATCTTCGAAACATGTGGTTTAGCCTTATCATGTTGAGGGATGAATTTTCTCTTTGGGATCTTTTCTCTGGCAAAGATTTAGCTGGCTTGTCAAGTTGCCCTGGGTATTTGAGTGAGTTAAGTGTTGTCTTGCTATTCAAAACTTCCCGGTAGATGAGGTCTTCCAAATCCCAGAAAAACGAGCGTAAACTTTTTCTCATGCACATTTGATATGGCGTCGTGTTCGGGCTTTTCCCCCTCCGCAACCCCCTTTCTTCGAAAGCTAACAGTTAGAATTCATTTTATCCCTTGCCATAATATGG